GCTTCCCACCTCAGCCAAGAGCCACAGCATTTCGGTAATGGAGGGGACAGAAAAGAGGGACCTGGGGACCATATAAGGGGACACCTGCCCAGCTGCGCACCCTCAGTCAGGGATGGGCTCCTGGAAGATGATGTCCACAGACACACACAAGGCACCCAAAGGACCAAAACACTACTGGGGGAGAACCAGTGGCTTTCTGATGACAATCTGGTAATAACTATTGAAATGCAAAACACTCTCATCCTTCCACCCAGCAATTCCACTTCCAAGAATTTATTCCATAGATGCTCTCCCACAAGAGCACAGAGATACAGTTATAAGGATGTTCATTCACTATGGCATCATTTACAAGAACTAAAAACTGGAAACCCCAAATGTCCACTCAGAGAGGGTCTGCTTAAAAATTCAGGTATATTATACATATCATGGAGTCATTAAAGAGAATGAGGTAGATTATTAGGTATTGGTATATTTTAAATGTCCAAAATATAGTATTAATCGGAAAAAAGCAATTACAAAGTTGTGTATTTTTTATCAGTAATTTTGCATATACACACATATATAGGTAGGTGCATATGTAGGTCTATTTGTAGAAAAAATTGGAAATTACAGTGAGTAGAAAATCAGAGCATCTGTATCTTCATTATCTATGCACTGTTTGAAAATTAATGAAACTGTTACTTGCATAAGCAGAACACAGAGGGCACGTGTGCATCTGTTTATTTGTTAGCTGATTTTAAGGGCATCACTGCAGTAGCCTCCCGATTCTTTGCCTTTTTATTTGCCATGCTCTCCTCAAACTTCCTGAATCCTCTCTCCAAACTGCTATCAAAATAATTTTCCTAAAATGCAAGTCTGAGCATGCCACCTGCCCTGCTGAAAATGCTTAAATTCTCATTGGCCCAAGGAAGAAATCTAATGCAAGATGTTCCACCAACTTCTGCACCATCTCTTTACGGCCCCCTTCCCTCAGCTCCACACCCGTCCACCCATCAGTCATCCCATGACTGTCCCCACCTTGCCACCCTGCTTTCTTCCCGAGACCTTCCCACCGGCTCTCCTCTCCTCCCACACTACTTCCACCTGACTTCAGTTTATCCATTAGGTGATGTCATTTCTTCAGAGAACCCCTATGATTGGGGTTACGAGAGTAGTAGCTCTTACGTGGAGAGGGACTCATTACCCCACAGTCGCTGTATTTAACACGCACCAAACTACTTTTCAATTCCCTGCTTACATGTCTATATCACTTAGGAAGATTTAGAAGGACAGGCATTTATCTTGTTCACCCTCACCCCCCAACTTCTGGCATGATGCCTGGTAACAGTGCTCAATAAATAAATGTGATTCTGTGACACATTCACGCTTGTTAAACTCTAAAACCTGGAAATAAGGCAAAAGGCTAACTAGCTGACCTTTTAATGTCAAAAAAGAAAAAAGTAATAAAAGGTTTAAAGACACAATTAAGCAGGAAAGGTGGTCATTCCCTACCATCCATGTGGCAGGTATGATCTGGGGTCCCTCCAGAAAGCCTGCAGCCACATTTCACCCACACCTGGACACAGTCTCCCCCTCAGTGAATGAGCAGTGATGGACCTTGAGTTAACTGGACATCGGCCCCTGGGGGGCTGGTGCATTAATGTGATGGGCCGCCTAACTGGCATGGCACACGCTGGCCCCTCCCGGCAGACAGGTGATAGGTCAGTTTTGCCTGTGGGGGCGAGCCAGAGGGAAAGGTCAGCAGGGCAGGCCCCTCCCTGGGAGGGAGATTACCCTGCAGTGTGGGTCTCGGTGGGAGGGAGGAGGAATTCTAGGGACTCACTGTCTGCTTCATGAACCTGCTTTGGACCAGCCACAGATGGGCCGGGGGTCGGGCAGTGCTGAAGGTCGGTTGGGTGCTCTTACTTGGGCACAGACAGAGATCAGCGCCCCAGGCCACTGCTCTTCGCCCAGGAGTGGGGTGTTTCCAGGGCCTGGGCGCTGACTCCGGGATGCTGGAATGCTGTTGGATTCCGTGCACGCTATTTCTGATCCCGCCATCCACCCCTACCAAAATGCATCACGGCATACATTCAACGTGAACGTAAAAGTATTGGTGGTTTAGGAGGAATTTCATGGTCTTTCTTGACAGAGTTACAAAGACAAGGTTGGCGACATGTTCCAGACCATCCTAGCCATGGGGACACAACTTTCATGCACAAAACATGACAGTTGGAAGGGTCTTGGGGCAACTTCTCTACCCACCTTCCATCTTACAGAAGAGGAAGCTGGAAACCCTCCATCCCACAAGGCTGCCCAACTCTGTGCTCTCAATTCATTAACTCACCAATTAACGAGGAACGTGCCCAGATCCAGGATAGGTGTTCTTAAAGGGCCCAGACTGATTCAGCCACCGGGGGGTGGGGGGGAGGGGGGGTTGGTGGCCCCTGTGGGAACCATAAGGTCTTTTCTCGCTTTGTTGTCAACCCTCCTTCCCGGACAAAAGAGGAAGGACTCACCAGTTCCTGGACGAAGGCTGAGCCGGCTGCGAGGCGGAGACCTACATTTTGTCCAGACGGAATTCATGTTTGACCTCTGGGTGGTGGCCCCTTGCCTGGCCCCCAAGCCACATGCTTGACCCACAGGTCCGTCCTCTGCCCAGCTGCAGTCCCGACACTGGAGGGCCTCACCCAGCCCCAGCCCAGTCTCCCAGTCTTAACTTCTCTCACTGAAGACGTCTGCACAGAAAACCACAGGGCTCTCAGCCCTGCCAATGTGCCTCCCCTCCATCGCAGGCCCTCAGGCGCTTGTATTTTAACACGTGGACTTTGTGGCCCCGATGTGCACTGTTTCCTTGCTGGCGGTTTTCTCTTCTTGAATTTTCTGTTCCCAGGTACCCACTCACTCCCCGCATCAGATTTCTTACACTGCAGGCTGCCTTGGAAGGAGCCTTCCCTCCTCTCCTGGAAAGCAGCGGCATGAAGACCCTTGGCCAGGAAGTGGGCCTGAAAGTCTGGCTTATCCCTGCCCGGTTAACGTTCACAGTCCAGACACCAAGAGAGTTCCAAAGCGTAGGAAAAACCCAAGCCACAGTCTGCCGAGCCACAGTGGCATGGGGGCCGGTTACCGTGGCAACCCCTGGCTTCCCAGCCCAACCCATTGTCTGCGGGCTGAGTTCTGCTCACTGATTCCCAAGGTTTGCTTACTCAGCTCCCAGCATTTCCAGATTGGCCCTGCTGCCCGTCAACTCCAAGGGCACCCCCCGGCCCATCCTCTGCCCCACGCTTTTCCTGGCAAAGCCTCTCTGAAGAGGCCTTGAGCACTCCCTGGCTCCTTCCCCCTCACCATACAGGTGGCCCACATATTTATTGCAGCCACTGTTCAGGCTCTGCTGGTAACAGTCTCACTGGGTGTGCTGGGCCCCACCCAGGAAGAGTGGCTGAAGGGCCGGGCCTCCCTGCTGAGGGACAGCCGCAGGCACAGGCCCCAGGGTGGGCTTGTTAAGATCCTCTGGGGGCAAAATTCTTTGTCCCCCAACAAGCTCTCAGAGACAGTGCAGAGAGCCCGGCACTCCCTCTCACATCCCTGGGCCCAAACAGGAGTTAAACTCCCATCACAATACTGAAATGGACACGTGCGCTGGCGTTTACTGGGGTTTCCTGTCTTCCCGCATAGCACCCAGATGTCACTAGCCCCCTTTCCAATGTTTTACTGCCCCCATTGTTTTTGCCATAATTTCTCCAGATGCCTAAATAATTTTCTGGAATAAAATGGCCTATCTATATACATATTACAGTTAAAGTGATTAGTCTCAGAAATATTTAATGACAGGAAAGTTCCTATGTTAAATAAAAAGGGCTGAACAGAAAGCCATACATACACCAGGACACCAGTTTTGTAAAACACATTTGCACTGGAAAAAACCAGATAAGGAACAGCGTCACGGCATTTACAGGGATTATTTATGTGTTGGTGAACTTAGGGCCATTTTCTACATGAGTCATTCATACAATTTTAAAAGCAGAATGTGGGGGTTTATGAAAACCCCCAGGAATGGGTACTCAATGGGAGGCGAGGACCCTTCCTCAGGGGCCTCTGAAGACAGCATGCCGGGCTAGAAAACCACTTTTAAGGTAAACATGCCATGAGGCAGGACAGACAGGACGGCTGCAGATTTCAACGTTTAGCGCAGCGTGGCTGAGGTACCCTCTCTTGGTCCCTGCCCTCTTTTGCAGTTTACAGTCTAACCAGAGCCAGGCTATACGCTGAGCTACTTCTAGGCCTTTCCTAGATGCTCATGGACTCCTCATAGGGACCCTGGGTAAGAGCTCCCAGCCCATCTCAAAGGGGGACACGGGCTCATGGTAGAGACTGCCCCAATGTCACACTGCCAGCCTGTGGCCCACAGGATTTAAACAGAGCTTTAACATGAAAGCCTGCTGCCTTTACCACTCTATTGCCACATCCTAATCTAAGGAAATAAACTACCAAATAGACAATTTTTTAAGAAATCACCATCTGGTACAACAGAAGGATCCTGTCTCCCCATCAGTTGATTTCACACCATCCGTCAGGTCACTTCTGTAACTGCCCACACAGGGGTCCCAGCGGAGGCAACAGGCAACCTCGACAACCCAAGATGTCCTCTTCCACAGGCCCCTTCCAGCTCTGTTCTCCAAAAGCATAACCCAGGGGACCTAAGGGCCAGCTTAAGTATCCCTCTTCCCTTTTTTAAATCAGTTTCCACACACAGACCATCTTAATCTTAGGGTCACTGAATCCTGCCCCAGGCCTAACAGAGGATAGGCACAACAACTGGGCTGTCTTTGTTTATAAAATGAAATGAATCCCAGAATTTGACAATCTTGTCCTTTATTTTCACATCTTCTTCTCCTATAAACAGATCTCTCTGAAAGGACTTTAAAGAGCCACAAAATTGGCAACTGAAGGTTTCCATGTGCTAAATTGTGTATTTTTTCTTATAATCATGTACGGCGTTGGAAAGCACACACACAAAAATGATTAAGAGTTTTTGTTAATAACTCCACTCTAGAACTTATTCCCCATTCTGAACCGCAACAGACTGTAGAAATGACAGAAAGCCCAAGCCACTGACAATGATTATTAAAAAGGACAGACATCCCGGGGGCCAGTCTGAGCTGACAGCTCCCTCTAGCGGCAATGCTTGTGTTCTTTCCCGAGGACTGAAGCATCCCTCCAGGCAACCAGCAGGTAAGGCTAAAGGAAAGCTTGGATTTAAGGAAAATGCCAATGACAGGGCACCTCATTTCTCGAGCCCTGCTGGTAACGACCAGGGAGAGTATTGCTGTGAAGATACAGAGACAAAGCTGACAGTGGCACATTTTCTGCTAAAATTCTTTGCAAGACAGAAAAATGTGCACAGACTAAATTTAGATATAAATACGAGGCAACGGAGACCTGACGTGGTCTCTGAGGCATCAAAACGAGTCCTGGGGGGGTGACGAGATGCCAGCAGAGCACTGAAGCCCAGAAATGGTGTGACCCCGCCTGGCTATCCTGTTTACCAACACGTCCAGCCCGGGAGGAGAAAGACGTGAAACCACCAGGGAGAAGATCAGCAGTGTATTTCCATCCTTTCTCTCAACGCCGGCCTCCTGTTCCCTCTCAAAAGCGCTGAACGGCACACACTGGTGCACATGCACATGTCCAGGCGCGGCTGCCCAGGGCAAGAAGGGGGCTTTCTCCCCAGAGCCACTGCGCCAGTCCTTCCTCCAGACAGCCTCGTGCCCAGCGCTGCCGGCATGTCTCCGACCGCAGATTAGAACTCAGTAAGGACAAATCTAGTTCTAAAAATGCTGCAGGAGAAGCTTCCTGGACTTCAGAGCAATTTTTGCTGCATAAAATCCTGATTTAAAAAAGAAAGAAGAGCTCTTCAGTCCAAACTTTCACCTTTCAAGTCTTGATTAAATGGAACAGCCCAAACACAGTCTTTTAACACTGGACCCATGGGAACAGATGAGAACTCGCATGGCATCAAATGAGCGGGGGATGCTGGCATGCGGGAGCTGCCATCGCTGCCTCCACATCCTGTTATGCTCACGGTGCCGCTGGCCAGCCTGCCTTCTTCCCTGGTACGTGTTTGTGGCCCCACTGTACCTATTTTTATCCAGATTCCAACAACCAGGTTCTTAAAAGATCTTTTTGAGGAATCAACTGTGTTCTTTCTGCTCTGGTGGTGTACAAACGTCTCCTTGCTGCTTTATCTCTTTAGAAAACAAAGTCTGATTGGCTATACCGGAGCCTAGGGCGGAACTCTAGGTCATGGAGCCTTAGGAAGAGAGTTGAGTTTGCCCTAAACATACTCATGAGTTACAGGAAACACCATTTGCTCTGCAAGTGTGTCCTTCGCCGCCAAAAAGCCCCATTGTCTGCTGACGTCAGGCTGGAGACAGTCAAGCTTTCTGGTAGAAAAGTTCCTTCCCTTATTAAAGACATCAGCATCAGTTTATTTTTTGATAGAACTTAGGCCTGGGGTATAGTTTCTGTTCACAGTTTTCCTCAATTTCTCTTGCTCCAATTTTCTCTGATGCTCCAGGAAGTTTAAAATTGTAATCTGTTGTGATGTAAGGTATTGTCCCTTCAAGCCCACGCTGAAATGGAAACATAAAGAGAATCGTGGAAATACTCCAAATCTAACCAACAAGAGTCTGCATTGTTTTAATCCTTCCCAGAAAGCAGTGTAAAAAGTGAGAGTCTGATAAGTCTTAAAAGACATTTAGGAAGGGGATACAGGGATATTATGTTTAGTACACATGGTGCGAGGGATCATGGGGAAAACAGTGTAGCACATAGAAGGCAAATAGTCGATCTGTGGCATCTTGCTGCACTGATGGACAGTGACTGCACTGGGGTATGGGGGGGACTTGATAACATGGATAAATGTAGTAACCACACTGTTTTTTCATGTGAAACCTTCATTAGAGTGTATACCAATAATACCTAAAAAAAAAAAAAAGAGAGACATTTGCTCCCCTTTCCCTCAAACGGCCCACTTAAAGCAACAAGCCCAGGGACAAAGGGGATGGCCTCTTTCCTGGCCAGTTGAACCCCACATACACGTCAAACGGCATGAGAACAGGTGGGTGGGGGTGGGTGTTTCCCTCAATAAGATAAAATAAACAGGTAAGAAGGAGGCTCGAAGGCCTGTAGTCTGGCACTGGGCCCACACAGACGCCCCTGGCCAATGTGACCTTCCCATGGGCGCACCTGAAGACCATCCTTGGGAAAGGTAATCTTGGGAGGCCAACTCTGCTCTCTTTGCCCAAAGCTCTCTTCTGCCACGAGGGTCTTGACCACGAGCAGTGGCGATTCCTGGCCTTAGCCTCTGAGGTGCATCCTGACACCCCACCCTGCCTCACTCAGCCTCTACAACAAAGCCTGAGTCTCCCAAACAGTTACCCGTTTCTTGAGCCCTGCCCCAGCTTCAGGTCACTCTATGACATGCACAGTGGCTACCTCCAGGGCTGTCCCTGGGAGTTGCACTCACCTGGCTCTTGAAGACACACTGTGGGATGGAAATGGCTCCGACAAGCAGACAATTCACGTTTCTTAGCTCCTCTGGGGGCACAGGAGTGAGAATGTGGTAAAGCCTCTTCTCCATGTCAATGCCTCTACAAATTCCTTGAAGATACACAAACACACAAAAATATTCCATTCTAGAAGATATCAAACCCTCTCTACCATTCAGAATTGCTGAATGGCTAATTTCAACTGTGTTTTGCTTTGGAAATACAAAGCGCCAAGAGATGGGGCATTTGAGGACACCTGGTACCCTTCTCTGTGCTCAGCTGAGGAACCACCGTGGTCCACACACCAAAGTCCTGGACTGCCAACAAAACGTGCACAGGGAGAAAACCCGCCTCGACCTCTCCCTATGACCATCCCTTCTTTACGGTCAGTACTAAGGAACATAGTTTCTGTGGACACACTTTGGAGAAGTACAGTATTGCACAAGCCAGAAACATGTATTTCATTACCTAAGGACTTTGCTAATTTTGGATTATATAGGCCTAGCATGCTTCCAGAAACATATACTGACATTTAGTGACCTCAGAGGGCCAGGGTCACATAGGCTTGGTGAAGGAGAGAGGGACCCCAGTTACCTGGGGACTGTGTGGCCCGTGGTCCTGCCCCGTGAGATGAGCACCCCAGGGCATGACATAATCAGATCGCTCCTGACAGGGGGCCAGTGCACAAAAGAAGGCAGCTCAGACTGATGTGGTGAGAATGGGTGAGATGTGGGGGAATATGACAGATCTGGAAAATGGAAGCTTCCAGACCTGCTAGTGGGCTGGATGTGGTGAACAAGGCAACAGAGTGCCAAGGAGGACCCACAGGTCTGGTGCCAACACCAGAGTGAATCTCTGAAGGACTGTTCACAGGCCTGGGATCAGGAGACGGTGTGTAAGCAGGAGGAAAGGATTTGGGAGATGAGGACCTTGGTCTTTGATGCAAGTGAGACATCCAGGTGGAGGGCTTGGAACTCGGGCCTGTGGTTGTGCTGGACAGATCCTACGCAAAGTCAGCCTGCAGATGGCATGAGAGCCCCAGCAGTGAGCAAGACGGCCTGGAGAAGGCCTGCCAAGTGAGAAGGGCAACCAGACCCTTGGGGTTCCCAGATGGGATGTAGAGAAGCTGGCAGGAGCAGCTGACAAAGAGCTGCCTCCTCCCCGACACGCTCACTGACCGCTCCAGCCCAGAGTCGGCTACAAGGTCAAGGCCTGCCATCTATAGCTAAAGTGATCTACTGCATCAGGTTCACAGACAAGCTTTACTCGTACTCACCGAACCCTACACAATCACAGATCGGAGTCTGGGCAAGCAGGATGGGCCCATTTGCATATCCTCTGACATCATCCAGGATTTTGCAAAGACCAACCCAGCTGGCATTCACAGCATATAATATATGGGTAGGAGCGACATCAGAGTGAGTAATCCGGAGTGCAACTGCATTGAAAGGGACCTGGAAAACAAATTTACATCTCCCTGTTCATTCTACTTGAAAGACGACTTCTACTTTTTATAAGCTGACTAGCCAACTATCTTAAGTTATGTCTGACAAACTGCCTGCTAAGAAGTATCTAAACATAACAGAAATGCTAACCAGCATTTGTTTAGGGTTTCACTGCTTTAATACAGAGAACCTAAGAAATTTACACCAAGTTCTTGTATACCAGCAACACTCTCTAGAAATTTGAACTGGATGCCTGGAAATTTCCTGTCTGATGAGACACATAAGTTTGGAGGCACCCTGAATGAGTCAAAGTTGAAGAAGACTGTGAAAGCCCCGTTCGCTGAGAGGTCTCTCAATGTAATAAAGTAAAAATCCATTCACTGAGAAAAAGCCACCATCCACCTTCTAATATAACATACTGAATTAATAGATTATATTTCTGGGGCACAAAATGAATAGCTACCTTTAACTTTCTGGGTAATTCCAAATTTCTAGAGCAGAAAAGTATTTTGTTACACATTTAAATTTCAAAACAACTTTGAAATAGCAAAAAGCAGATTAAATTACTGACTGGCAGATAGTTACACAGCATCTCCAAGTGGGAAAATGACCCCATCAACCAAAACTCCCAAACAAACTGCCTCAGAGTCTCTGGTGGAGCCGACAGGGCAGCCTGGAGCCGTTCTCACCATCAAGCCTGGAAAACAAACCCTTGGCCATCCAGGTCCACTGCTCCTGCCTCAGGAGTGTCTCTTGAGGAAGGATTTGAAGACAAGTTTATCTGGTGTCAGGCCTGTGTGACCACCTGACTGTGCCCTGTCTTCCAAGCTGTAAACAGAGAACGTGACGGCCTCCCCCTCACTGGGCTACCGTGATGTCACCAAGGCAGTCCATGCAAAGTGCTGAGCAGAGCACCTGGCACACAGTAAGGACTCAGTACCGGACAGGCTGCACACCAGGGAGGAAACACTCTGGGCTCTAGAATCAGTCTCAGACCCAACTCTGACTCTGCCACTTTGGGTAAGCTAACTTAGCATCCCTGACCTCAGCATCCAAAAGACGAAGAACAACAAATGCTGGCGAGGATACAGATAAAGGGGAACCTTCCTGCACTGCTGGTGGGAATGTAAATTAGTTCAACCACTGTGGAAAGCAGTATGGAGGTTCCTCAAAAAACTAAAAATAGAAGTACCATTTGACCCAGGAATTCTACTCCTAGGAATTTACCCAAAGGAAACAAGATCTCAGATTCAAAAAGATACATGCACCTCTATGTTTATCACAGCACTATTTACAACAGCCAATATATGGAAGCACCCTAAGTGTCCATCAGTAGATGAATGGACAAAGAAGAGGTGGTACATATACACAATGGGATATTATTCAGCTGTAAGTACCATTTGCAACCACATGGATGGAGCTAAAGGGTATTATGCTCAGTGAAATAAGCCAGGCAGAGAAAGACAAGTACCAAATGATTTCCCTCATTTGTGGAGTATAACAACAAAGCAAAACTGAAGGAACAAAACAGCAGCAGACTCACAGACTCCAAGAAGGGACTAGGGGTTACCAAAGGGAAAGGGGTAAGGGGGGTGGGGAGGGTGGGTGGAGAGGGAGGGAGAAGGGGATTGAGGGGCATTATGATTGGTACACAAAATGTAGGTGGGGGGTGGTCACAGGGAAGGCAGTATAGCACAGAGAAGACAAGTAGTGTCTCTATAGCATCTTATTATGCTGATAGACAGTGACTGCAATGGGTGGTGGTGGAGGGGCTTGATAATATGGGTGAATGTAGTAACCACAATGTTGCTCATGTGAAACCTTTATAAGATTATATATCAATGATACCTTAATAAAAAAAAAAGTCCCTGGCCCTGGTCTCAGTTTTATCATCTATAAAATGGGAATAACAGGACCATCGTGACCTATAAAGGGGTTAACACAGGGCACAACTGAGTAAGCACTCAGGAAATACACCTGTTGCTTTTTTATGCTCTCATCATCCAAAATCTTAAAATTACAGTGGTTTTTTCCCAAAATAATTCTTAAGAACTTGGATTCCAAGATGCAACAACTCTGGTGCTAGAATCTACTTCTGGTAACACAAAGTGCTCTCTGGATGCACCACTCTAACACTCACTGAATTCTCACGGCCACTCTATGCAGTCTGGTATGGCCTCCCTGCTACAGCTGGGAAACTGAGTCACACACAGCTAGTCAGCAGAAGCGCTGGGGCTGAACTGCCTGGGCATATTAGGTAGAACATTCAGCCATGCCCAGCACAGAACAGCCATTCAGAGCAGACGGTGGCACTGGACCACCTGGGTCTGATGCCAGCTCTGTGCCTCCGCTCAGTTTCTCAGCCTCCCCTCTGTAAAACGGGGATAGCTACGGACCCCACACCCAGGACTGTTCTGAAGATTAAATGAGCAAAGAGTTACAAAAGGCTGAGAAGCGCTCTTGGCACACGAAGACAAGGAGTGTTTGTTAAGTAAAGAATATAAAGACAATATTGTTTAGTTTAAGTTACCTGATAGGGTATCAGACCATGAAGGGGACAAAGTGGTTGCGGCACTGGGGGCTGCAGCTGGCCGAGGTAACCCAGCACCGCCAAATCACGCAGGACTTTGTTATGTGACTCTCTGAAAAGTCAATCAGAATGAGGTAAATAGAGATTCAACACTCGAGTCCACCTCCCACTCAGGAAGAGTCCATTTATCACCACATCAGATTCACAAGAGCATGTTCCCACCTGCACATGTGCAGACCCTGTCTCTCTACAAGCCCCCTGGAAAAACATGAAGCGTAAAGATTCTTCTTCAAGTCAAAGCTCCAGGCAAGCAGAAGGGCAGGCCACATCTGGACACAGATCTTCCTCAACTTACAACAGTCATGTCCCAGTATATTCACCATAAACTGAAAATATTGTTAAGTCAAAATGCATCTAAAACATATAACCTACAGACATCATAGCTTAGCCTGCCTTATATGTGCTCAGAGCACTTACATTAGCCTACAGTTGGACAAACTCATCCAACACAAAGCCCATTTTAAAATAAAATTGTCAAATATCTCACAATTTATTGAATACTGTACTGAAAGTGAGAAACAGAATGAGTGTGCGTGAGTGCAGGATGGTTCCTTCAACTGTTTACCCCCATGGCTGCACTGGGCGGCTGGGAGCTGCGGCTCCCTGCTGCTGACCAGTATCATGAGAGGGTGTCAGACCATATATTGCTACCCGCAGAACAGACCAACACTCAAAATTTACAAGTACACATTCTAATGAATACATATTGTTTTCACATAATCATCAAGTTGAAAAATCGTTAAGCCAAACCATTGTAAGTTGCAGAACACCTGTATCTTTGTTCAGAAAAATGTGTATGTATATGTGTGTATATATAGATAATCTATGTATATATAGAGAGATAATCTGTATATATATTAGAACGGTTCAGAAAATAGCTGATTCTCTTTCATAAATATATAGATGTGATAGAGATGAACATTTTAGAACTTACTCCCTTTAAGTTACTGAGGACAGAAGATGCTGTTAAACTGAAGAAAACAATTTTCCAGCCATGATATTTACCTATTTCTTGGAGTTTTTCTATTAACAAAATCCGACTGGACACACATCAGTTTATGTCCAGTAAACACAAGTGGACTCTCCTTTTCTTCATCAGCAAATTCCAAATTATCTGCAAATTCAGCCAGCTGGTAACCTCTGTTTCTGACTTTGGCCTTGCTTTTCGTGTACAGGCCATCCATGCTGTCTACGTAGTCAGGGGTAAGATCTGGCATGCATCTACTTCGGCCAAAACTGAACTGAACAACATGGCTGGGAGCCAGCAATCGGATCAGATCAATGAGAAGCAAAAGCCCTTTGTCTATGAAGAAGCAGATGACATAAACACAGTTAGTGCCCTAATAAATGAGTAACACACTCCCATGAGAAAATGGTACACTTACCCTGAGACAAAGAAATGGCAAGAAAAGCCAGGCTGCAGCAGTAATGCCCGAGAGCCAGGCTCACTCCTGCTGACCGCCCTTTTCTACAGCAGGGCCCCCACGTTCTTACCTATCACCCAGCCCATCGTGTTGACGATAAGAGGGGACTCTCTCTTGTAGGAGCTGAACACATACTTTATCATCTCAATATAATTCTCATGGTTGTTTTTACAAGCAGGCTTTCCATAAAAAATCATTTTCTGTGGTGTCCTTTGTTGGGTGAAAGGTGGTCCTGAGAAGAATAAGAGCAGTCAATCCATGACTACCCAAAAGGTGGTGCATCATCACTGAAGATGGTCCTGGGGAGACCAGAGACTCCCCACCACTGAGAAGAGCTGCACTCCCATTTTCAGAAATCTAAGGTTTCAACTTATTACAAAGACATGCTCACTTCTGCAATATGGTTAATCCCAACTATGTCCTAAGAGAGCCATTCATTCAACACATTTACTGAGCACTGGGCATTGTACCAGGTACTTAGGATACATCTGTGAACAAACATACCTGTCCTTGCAGGGCTTACATGCTAATGAAAGGGCAACTAGTAACAACCCAGTCAACTACTGGAACATAGCACTTACTGTGTTCTAGGTACTTTACAGGTGGTCTCTAATTTTCATAAAAACCCGATGAAGTAGGTAATATTATCATCCCCATTTTTATAGACAAGGAAATTGAGATATTAACTTGACCAAGAAATTATCAACGGGGCTTGAACTGAAGTGACCCAACTCTAGAGTTGACCGTCCTAATCAGTCCAGCCCAAGCACCGCCCATCTCCCCTGGCTGGGGCTGGGGCTGGGGCTGGGGCCAGGGCCAGTACGCTCAGCGGGGTCACCCAGGCCATGTGGTAACACGGTCAGCAGGGCAAAAGCCTTGGTCAGTGTGGCTGATGCAAGGCCACTTGGTAGGGTTGGCAAGGCTCCCTCTAGGTTGGGGCCAGGGAATTCGGGGTACCCACAACTGAGGGGGTGGCCTGCATAGTAGAGGGATTGAATAAATAAAAAGGAATGGAGCAAATACATAAATATATTGAGAATAAACACAGCCAGGGTTCTTATCAGAGAAGGAACTTATAAATATGGAAGGATGAAGGCTAACTAGAATGATCCTAGGTGTTACACTGGAATCAGAGTGACAGGTATAAACTCATGGCTTAATAATAAATAGGGAGACAATACACAGAAAGAGATAAAGATGTGTGTGTGTGTATGTACATATCCATACATGTACATGTATGGTGTGTGTGGGTTTAAAAGTCCTTGTATTTCTAGCTCTGTCCAGTAAGCGGATCTAGAAGCAATGACATCCCAGAATAAATAACACACTTTGTTACACTAAGAGTGGAAAACCCTGACAAACGCTATCCTGACCAAGTGATCAAAGCCGACATCCCTAGTGACAGGACAAACTGGCAGCATGCTGACATGACACAACAATGTTACTTCTAAATCAAATCAGGAGGGACAGTCTAGAAATGCACTCTTTAAAATTGACAAGGTCATAAAGATAAGAAAAGCCAGAGGAACTGATCCCAACTGAAGCAGACTACAGTTCTGGAAGTATACACGGGACCTACCCAGATGCTGGGACACTGGACAAGACTCGAGTAACAGTGCTCCCGCAGGACCACTATCCTGATTTTGGTGGTTGTATTGTGATGATGAGCAGTGTCCTTGTTTTTAGAAACACCCACTGAAAAATTAAGGAGTAGAAAGAGAAAAGAAAACTAAATGGACTAGAGAAGATGTAAAAGGAATAAAAAGGAACATTGAAACCAGCTAAAGAACCAAGTTTTACACAGTTATTTCTGACAGCTGTAAAACAATGTAAACATTTTATGACTTCTTCTGACAAAGTCTATTCAATCCTTAACATACCTAGGAACCTAATGTATCATCACCTGCTTTTTTAAAAAGCCAACTAAAAAAATCACACAATTATGCCAACAGACACAGAAAATGCATCTGACAAAACCTAATGTTCTTTCATGATAAAAAGATTCCACACACTAGGAATAGAAGGGCAACTTCGTCAGCCTGACAAAGGCCGACTATGGAAAATCCAGTTAACATCAAACGGTGAAAGACTGGATGCATTCTGTCTAAGATCAGGAACAAGAAAAGGATGTTTCCATCCACTCAACACTGTATTGGAGGTTCCAACCAGAACTATTAGACAAGAAAAAGGAATTAAAGGCGGCCACATTGGAAAGGAAGAGGTGACACTATCTCTATTTGCAAATGACACGATCTTATATATAGAAAATACCAAAGAATCCACAGTAATCTACTAGAGGTAATAAAGGAACCCAGCAAAGTATGCAAGAGTAACACATAGAATCACTTGTGTCTCTACACACCAGCAATGTATAATGTGAAAAGGTGTTAGAAAGGCGACTCCACTTACAGTTAACAGTAAACAAATTCAATCCTTAGGAACAAATCTAACCAAGAAAATAGAAGACTGACACACTAAAAACCATAAAATATTGCTGAAAGAAATTAAAAATCAAACAGTTGGAAACAAATCCCATGTTGACAGACAGGAAGACATAGCATTGTTGTCAGTATTATCCGAAGTGATCTAGAAATTCAACATAATCCCTATCAAAACTCTAACAGCCTTTTTCACAGAAATGGAAAAGGTGATCCTCAAATTCATGTGGAATTGCAGGGGTCCCCAGAAGGCCAAAACAATCTTGAAAAATAGTAAGGTGGGAAGACTCACATTTCCCAACTCATGTTTCTCTTTTAGTGTGGGACTGGCATAAGGACTGACATATAGACCAATGGAATAAAATAGGCCAGAAATAAACCCTCACATATATGGTCAAATGATTTTCAACAAGGCTGCCAAGACCATTCAATGGGAAAAGGACAGTCTTTTCAACAAACAGTGACTGGAAAATTGGATATCCACATGCAAAAGAATGAGCTTGAACCCTTTCCTTAAATCAAATACAAAAATTAATTCAATATGGATCAAAGACCAAAATGTAAAAGCTAAAACCTATAAAACTCTTGGAAGAAAACATTACAGAAAATCTCTGTGACATTAGATTTGGCAACAACTTCATGGATATGATACCAAAAGCACAGGCAACAAAAGAAAACACAGATAAATTATACTTCATTATACTTTCGTGCATCAAAGGGAGTACCAAGAAAACAAAAAGACAGCCCACAGAAAGGAGTATTTGCAAACCATGTATCCGATAATATACAAATAATACATAAAGAACATACAGAGAAGTACAAAAACTCAACAAAAACAAATAACTCAATCTAAAAACAGGTCTAGGAAGGACTTGAATAAATATTTTTCCAAAGAAAATATACAAATGGCCAATCAACACATGGGAAGATGCTCAACATCCCTAGTAATTAAGGAAATGACAAAGCCACAGTGAAATACCACTTCACATCTGGGATGTAAATAATCAAATGTCTATAATCAAAATAACAAGTACTGGTGATGTTGTGGAGAGGTAAGAACACTTGTGCATTGCAGATGGGAAGTAAAATGGTGCAGCTACTGTGAAAAACAGTCTGGCAGTTTTTCAAAAGGTCAACCATTGAACTACTATATGGTATTACTCAGCAATTCCACTCCAAGTTATATATCCCAAAGAACAGAAAGCAGGGATTTGAAAAGATCTTTGTACACCAATATTCGCAGCAGTACTAGTCACAACTGCCATAAAGTGAAACAATCTAAGTGTCTATCAACAGATGAATGTATGAGCAAAATGTGATACAGCCATAAAAAAGAATTAAATTTTGATATATGCTACAATACAAATAGACCTTAAAACGACTATGCTTAGTAAAAAAAGCCAAACACAGAAAGGCAAATATGGTATGATTTCACTTATATGAGGTACCTAGAACGGGTAACTCATAGGGACAGAAACCAGAATGGAGGTTACTAGGAGCTGGAAGGAGAGAGGAAGGGAGGAACTGTTATTTAGCAGGTAGAGCGTTTCAGTTTGGGACAATGAAAAATTCTGGATATAAACAGTGGTGATGGTTATACAACCCTGTGAAGGTGCTTAATACCACTGAATTGTACATATATCAATGATTAAAACAGCAAATATCATGTTATATATATTTTACCATTAAAAAGACAATGTGAGGTTCTGGATTGGATTCTCAAGCAGAAAAAGGACACTAGAAGGATAAATGGTGAATGTGGAATAAAACCTATAGTTTAATTAATACTATTTTGCCAGTGTTCTCTTCTTGGTGTAGCTCATGTACAGGGTTCCGTAAGATGTTAGTATTACAGAATGGCATGTTTCTAGGTTACATAAAACAAAATTGACAGTAGTTCTATTTACTAAAATGGAACCTTTACAAAGTACCATTTCTTTTTTTGAGGCTAGAGGAACACTTATGGCAAGACCATGAGTTTGCTAGGGAGCGATGTCCACTTTGTATATTTTATACCTTCATATTCTCTGAGTTTTTTTTAAGTATCACTTTTTAGTTTTATAAAACCAAGACATTTAAGAAATATATAATACACACCTAGAACTGGTTCTGTAATATTAAGTAAAGAAATGCAACCTGGAGGAGTAAATTCTGTCTGTCCCAGATCACATTCCAAATAGTCAACACAGGGAATACTGAAAATTTAAAAGAAAGAAAGAAAATCTTAATTACCTTTACTACGTCAAAACGACAAACTGACTTTAAAGATGCTGGGCAATACAGGCATAATCCACCCTACGCGGCCTTTAAGGTGGAATGCGCCAAAGATGACAATCAATACCAAAAAAAATGTAAAGAAAAATGGGATGCAGGCAGGGTGACAGGGCCCATTCATTATGTGGATACAACTTCATCCTTCCTAACATTTCACCTTTAAAATACAACAGAACTTATCCCTATTCTGAATCTCTGGATATGGACAAAGCGATTCTGAGACCAAGTGTCCCCTCTCCCAAGCTCCCCCATAGGCAATGTCTGTACATAGAGAGCGCTGTCACCTCAGTCCGAAGACAGCACTCAGAGAATGCCAACACTCAGCTGAGCAGCTTTATACAGAGTTTTTGGTAATCTCTACTTAGAAGCCAGGACGCATTCCCATCCAGTCTCTTAAACTGAAAATCCTACTTCATGCTCATGTCAAAACAAGAATGAAAACACTTACCTATTTAACAACCGGTTCATCAGGTATCTATTAAAAGTTGACTTTCCAACGTCCTGATGTCCACAAACTAGAATGATGGGGCAGCCATCTACTTCTTCTGGAGGCAAAACAAACAGTGACCCTGAGCACCAGCCACCTTCTTCAGGACTCTAATCGTCATAAGCAGTGCTCCGCGGCTTTGGCAGATGCGGATAAGCGCCCGAGCTGCTTGGTGTGCATTACTCACCACGAGAAACGCTGACAAGCTCCTCCACGGCTGAAAGCATCCTCTCTGTTAAACGAAGGCCTTTTTTTTTTTTCTCTCTTCTAATGCCAACAGACCTCAAGGCTAAATATTCAGAGTTAATTTGGAAAGTTGGAGTCTGAAATTGACAATTCAAGCTTTAAGAAAAAGTAAAAACAAAGGCAGTTCACTTCTAAATTAATAAGCCTCATGCAGTTATGAGCTATAAAATATAAACTCAATCCCCTCGCTCTCACCCCCCAAATACAACCCTTCAGTAAGTCTTATCAAGTCTATTGCTAAGGTCTCTTTTTTATAGTGCACACTTACTTCCAAGCTGTCATCACCTCCGCATGGGACTCCAAAGAAAAGGAAAATGTGGGGAAACTTAAGTGATTGCCACAAGACAAATTCAAGAGAAGACCAAAGCTGTGGATGAGGCTGGTGATGTGGAAGAAAGCCAAGACAATCTCCAAACACATAAAGAAGACAAAAACGATATGCAGAGTGGACAGGATGTGCAAGACAGGGCCACTAAGTGCAGCGGCATCTGGCAGAAATGTCAGGAAACCATGGGAAAGCAACCTAAGGGATGGAAGAGCAGGCTCCTAACTGAAGCAGTGGGGCTCACAGGGAATAAGGCCACAGCGTGGAAGAGACCACCCACGATCACATCCTCATGTGATTCCTGGACCCCGAGGAGAAAGACATCATAAAAGGAATGACCTCCTGTCAGCAACTCTAAGTCCTAGAAAACAACAGAGCAAAACCTGCAAGGTTTTGAGGAAAAATCCTCTGAAACTACAACAATTCTACACTGTGTTCAACTATCAGCCACTGAGGGCAAAATAAAAGCATCTTATAAAATGAGATAATCGAAAGTTTACTATCTACTTTCTACGAAAAAATAACTGCAGGATGTATTAACATGTAAATGTGGGATAGCAGCATACGGAATATAAACAGTGATGGTTGGGTAAGTCCCAGAAAAAACCAACACTGAAAACAAACGAAAAAAGAATGTCTCTGGCCAGGGAATTTAGAATGCCCACTTACAAGTAGCAAAGGTGGGGATGCCCATTTCCTTCTCTGTAGCCCTGGCAGGCTACCGGATTCCGCCATTCTGCACTAGATTAAATATATGAGAACACAGTATCTGTTCACCTTCCTGCCCTCATTTCATACCTTCTCTCACTTCAAGCCTCCAACACCTGCCTGCTCCCTACACCCCCATTTAGCAATGACCTTGGTCCACTTCTCAGAGCAACAGGGAGCAATTGGAGAACTTCTACTTGCCCTTGGCCCCCCTTGGGGCATTTCCTCCAGCTACTCTGGATGAACTGCCTATGCTCCTAAAGCCAACCTCTCCTCCACTCAGACACTAAGTATCAGCCCATCCTCGACACATGTGCACCACCAGCTCCTCTCTCTACTGCATTTGTCAGGGCTCTCCCCTCTGGATCATTTCCACCTGCTGTGTTCAAAAGTGCTAATTTTTTTCAATCCATCCCACCAAAAAAAAAAAATTATCTTGAACACTTACTCCTCCAGCTATTGTGTCATTTCTTTCCTTCCCTTTCCAGCAAAACTCTACAAAAGCAAAATCCTTTACTACTAAACCTTTGAATTCCTCTCTTCCCAGGCTCTTGAACCCATTCTGATATGTCATCCCACCACCGTGTCCAGACCACGCTTCTACACGCAGTTTGTTTCTCAGCCTCATCTTACCATCAGCACCCACAGACACAGCTGCTCACCTCCACCTCCTGCTAAGACTCCCTGAGCACACTCACCTGGTTTTCCTCTAACAGTGATGCCTACTCCTCAGTCTCTGTTCCCTCCTCTAGACCTCTTCTTAGGAATGCGTTGGGGCTCAGACCTTGAACCTTCTCACTTCTGTCTGTACCAACTCCCTGGGTGTTATTATTCGATCTTTAGGGAAGAGACCTTTGGAAACCTCTTCTGCTAAAAGTTCCCAAATTTAAATTTTCAAATCCCTGAACTCAGACACATATTCAACTTGCCCACTTGATAACTTCAGTTGAATGTCTAATAGGCATCTCAAGGTTACCTATCTAAACCTGCCCCTCCCACAGCACACCCATCTCAGTTAATGGCAGCTCTGTGCCTCGAAGTGGTCAGGCCAAAAAGCCTGGTGTTATTCCTTGATTGTTCCTCACATCCAATCTGTCTAATAATCCTATAGATTAGACTCAATGTATGGCTCATGGGAAACAATTAGAGTAAGAAAACCAGACTTCAGGAAATTAATAACATGGCCAGCAAAAAATCTGGAGGTGAGAGAGATGGGAGAAAGTCCAAGAAATTACTCTGAGATTACTGAAATTACTCATTCACAGTTTTGAGAAAATATATCCTCTTAGATTAATAAATCAAGATACCAAGGTAACTATTTTGAAAATACCACAAGGCATTTAACCAACTACAATATGAAATGATGACTTTCACTGAGGAATGACACAAGAGGGGAAAAGAGACATTTTTTCACAATATCTCTTCTTATACTGTTTCTTTACTGTTCATAGGTATTACAAGCTGTATAACCGACAGCATGACAGACAGACTCATCTTCCAAGGGAGCATCCTACAGTCATCTGATACGACTGTTTCAGTCAAAGTAATCAGCAAAACTCTGAAAGAGAACTGGTTTTACCTCTTGCACAAAAACGTTAGATAAACCTGGGTGGCTGGTTATGAAGTTTACAGTGGAGGTTTTCAGACGTTCCAGCATCACGATGGAGCACAGAGGAGAAAAGTTCTTCATCAACCAACTCCTGTCATCTGTAAAGAGAAAAATTAACTACTTTAGAAATAGTAACTACATTAAATTCTATGCCCTTTAGGACTACCACTTCCTCAGTTAAACTGTAAACTTTTTTGAGAGGAGGAATTGTATTTGAGAGCCTTTTCCAGGAGGTCCCGTTGCATAAAAAATAATAATAATAGAAGTCAACCAGGTTTGCTGTGTGGGCCTTGGGCAACTTTTCTCACCTGTAAAATAGTGAGAATAGTTTCAATCTCAGGACTCTTGTGAGGGTTTAACCAGATACAAAAAAGTGTGAAATCTGTTCACCATGTAAGAACTTATTCACTATGTAAGAACTTGTTCACCATGTAAGAACGTGTTCGTTATGCTTGAAGATTGGAGACTGTTGAGAATTAGGCTTGGGGTTGATTAATGATTGTGCACTGAGTCCCCTATACAGAATTTTATTGTTGTTAACAACCATCTGATCGATAAATATGAGAGATGCCCTCTCAAAAAAAAAAAAAAGTGTGCAATGTCTAGGCTATAATTAGCATCTAAAAACTGCCAGCCTCATTTCAGTACACTCTCAGTCAATTACCCAGTATTACCTCGGTTAAGATGAGATCTGAGCAAAGTTCGGGCTTCCCTTTTCATCTCCTTCTTGCTTTTCTCAGGCATCGTGTAATGACCTGCATTGATAGTCAGGCGTGAGTGGGTGTAGGGGGAGAAGACATCCTGGGCAGGCTGGCCTTGGTTGATGGTAAAACCAAACACCTGCACCTGGCCGTAGAGGCAGGTCACACGACAGATCCCGCTAAAAGTGAAACCCTAGCAGGGCAAGAGAAAAGAAAGTAAGAAATAACATTACAGATTCTGTTACTAATGACTGAGTTTTTTTTAAATCTAAATCGCTACTCATAACAAAGGTGGCTGGTTTCTAAGTAACGACACATTGCACTAGGCAAAGATCAAGTACTCACTATTTTTAGCTTAAGACTATGTTCCAGGACAGCTGGACAGGGCGGGTGAACACTGACACATAAAGAACAAGGGGCCCCACGGGCTGGGTTCTGCTGTTCTCACAGCCCCGCGTCCTCCCAGAGGCCCACTGCCTGCCAGGTCTCAGCCATTCCTGGGTTTTCACTTCTCTCCTTCACGGCAGAGGGTCCTCCCAGAGAGGCGTCCAAGCGAAGAGCAACGGCCCTGCGAGCAGGCGGCGTGGGTTTGAATCCTGGCTCTGCCTCTACTGTACACCTTCTGGCAAATCACCTAAGCTACCTCAGTTCCTTCGTCTGTGACATTCATAGTAATAGGGATAAGATTCCATAAAGGTCTGGGGGTATTAAATGGGTTCACAAACCTGACACACCCAGAATACTTAGAGCCTGGCATTTCTAAGCATCCAGTAAATGCGACTACTTTTACTATTATTACTGTTACAATCCCCTTCGGCTCTGAAGGCCGAGAGCCGTACAGCGGGGTCCTCGTTACCAGCTGCTCAGGCCCACCGCCGCGAGGAACCGCCACTGGGCCACGGGCTTCGCTCGCCGGCCACCCCCGGGCCGCGTCTCCGCCCCCGACGCCGCTGCCGGACTCCGCAGCGCGACCCACCTGCCTGAGCGGGAGGAGCAACAACGCGCGGCCCGGACCTGCCGGGCGCACGGGCGGGATGGGAAGGACCGCGGGGCCGCTCGGGGTCGGGGCCGCGGCCGGGCTGGGGGCCGCGGCCTTGGACCTCCGGGCCGCCGCGCGCCACACCAGCGAGCCGCCCTCCCGCCAGTCCGCGCCGGCCGCCTGGGCCTGCAGCAGCCGCCGCCGCAAGCGCTTCCGGCTGCACCAGCGCAGGGCCCCGAGCCGGCGGCGAGGCCGACGGCTGAGGACGAGCTGGGTCCGGGCCTTGCGGGCCCGCAGCCACGTGGAGCGTAAGAGCCCCCGCTTCGCCGGCTGCACAGAGTCCGCCATGCTGGCCGCAGGCCCCTGCGACAATCTCGCGAGAGCCAGTCGCCCCGCCTCGAGGACCTCCAAGTGGCCTGGAGCCGCGGGCGCCCTCTGCCGGCGGCCCTGGCAGCGCACCTGGGCCGCCGCGGGTTCTACCGAGCCTCCCACAGAGGCTCCCGCTGGCTGGCCTGCGGGGTCTCCCGGCGGCTACCTCAGGGACATGATGTCTTGGCCGACCCACCGAGGGCCCCATTTACATTATGCAAAGGTCCCATTCCGGCCGCCTCGGCAGGGAAAGCCAGATACCCTACCCTGAGTCCAGGGCCGCCATTCTAGAAATCCAGCTGGTATTTTTTTTTTTCCGGCAGAAAGAGCTCCAGGATCAATTTAAACAAAACCGTTCTATTTGCATACCCTCTGTTTGCATGCATTTGTCTTTGGGCTGAAGGGAGCAACCCGGAATAACAAGGCAAACCCACAATGATTCACTCAGAATTTCAGTGTCAGAAACCAAGGACTGGTGGGAGGTCTACTCAAAGCTACATCTCATTCGGTAAACCGAGGCCCAAGTCAAAGATTCTACAACGCATCACACCCAGAAAGCAACCCTCCACACCCCGTCCCTCAGGGCCCCTGTGTCCCTGCCTTCCTCTGACCCCACCCCACCCCAGTAGCCAGGACTCCTGAGCAGGTGAAGAAGCCCTGGGCAGCAGAGCAAGGACTGAACCACAGCCTTACAGAGGAAGGGTCAGAGGTGCCGCTCAGTTTTGCATCTGTGCCTTCACCCTGCCCAGCTCCTGAGGACCACAGGTCCGGAAGGCCAAGGCAAACAGCCTGGTTCCCGCAGCTGGGGTCCAGTCCCACCCCTTTCATAGGCATGAAGTTGGGAAGCATCCGGGCAACTGCTGTCTACGCTATTTAAATGCCCAGACCTGGTCCGAGGGTGCTGCTCGGCCATGCTGGGCACAGAGCTGTCTGGCCAGCATGTTACCGCAGGCAGCTCGCTTGGTCGGCCTGCAGCTTTCCCTCTCCTGCTGCTGGGCCTTCAGCTGCCACGGCACGGAGTCATCTCCCGACTTTAGCCTCCCTGGGGATTACCTCATCGCAGGCCTGTTCCCTCTCCACTCTGACTGTCTTGGGGTAAGACGTAGACCCACCGTGACCCTCTGTGACAGGTGAGTGAGGGGTCATCAGAACCACCACGTAGTGGGGCCTTTGTCATCCAGGACGTCTGTCCGTCCTTCTGTCCTTCTCAGCCAGGACCTTGCCCTTTCTATCACAATTCCATTCTGGTTATTTCCTGACTTTATGACGTAACGAGGTGGAAGGATTACACAGGTGTGGCCTTCCCCCATCCCCATCCCCTCCTGACTCCCACCCAAGTTCAAACTCCTTAGTCTCCTCATGGCAAGTGTGGCTCACTATGCGAAGGGGAGAGGAAACACATGGCATGGATGCTTCAGGAGCTTAGCAGAAATAAATTAGATCAGCGCCTTCATGAAGCGGCTTGAGGGAATCAGGGCTTCCACAGCAGGATGCTGTGAACATGAAGCAAACCTGATGGTTGACCTCAGAGGAAGGTGCCAGAAAGCCTCAGATGAGGACTGGCCTAAAGAGACTACAGATGGGAACCTGGGGACAGAAGACTTGGGGGGTTGCAGATAACTAACTGAAGGACTGCACTGGGCAGGAGGCATTGAGTTTCCTGAGTGACTCAAGGACAGAAATGATAGAAATGACAGAAGACCCTTCTAATAAGGAAAGTGAAATGGGCAGCACTTCAAGCAGGTTCCCAGCATGCCTCTGTTGGGATCCACCCAGCAGTTTCCTAAACTAGGCAACGAGAAGCACAGGCCCTCACCACATTCATGAGTGCTCCTGTAAGAAGCACTAGTCAGATGAGGTTAAGCGGGTATGGGCTTAATTTTACACGTCACCTTAGCTGGGCTCTGGCACCTAGTGGCCAAACACCAGTCTAATGTTGCTGTAAAGGAATATTTAGATGTGGTTAACATTTAAACCAATAAACTGAGTAAAGCGCATTGCCCCCATAATATGGGTGGGCCTCATCCAATCAGTTGAAGCTCTTAAGAGAAAAGATTAGGATTCCGGAAAAGGAAGAAATTCTGCCTTCAGACTCAAGACTGCAACATCAACTCTTGCAGGAATTCCCAGGCTGTCCTGCAAACTTCAGGCTTGCCAGCTGCCACAATCATGTGAGCTGAGTCCTTAAAATAACCCTCTCTCTCTCTCTATGTATATATGTCCTACTGGTTTTATGTGTCTGGAGAACCCTGGCTAACAGAGCTGGTTTCTCCACTTCAGGACTCCCTGAGCCTTTCAAGGCTAATGGCAGGGGGGAGTGGGATGGGTTGTGCATTACAACTTGTTCCCCACCTCTCCCAAGGCCTGTTAAGAGAACTGTGTGTATGCTTCTGGACCCACATTGAAGTCCATGCTGTAGGGAACCGCAGGGAATGACCTCAGAGCTTCCTTTCTCCCCCACTCAGCTGGGGGTTCCAGGCAGCCCGGAGGTCTCTGCAGGACCCTGCCCTTCTCAGCTCTCAGCTTTGCTTTACCTGCAGCCTCGACAGATTCAATGGCCATGGCTACCACCTCTTCCAGGCCATGCGGTTTGGCATTGAGGAAATAAACAACTCTACAGCCCTGCTGCCCAATGTCACCCTGGGGTATGAGCTGTATGACGTGTGCTCAGAGTCAGCCAACGTGTACGCCACACTGCGTGTGCTCTCCCTGCTGGGGACACATCACATAGAGATGCAAGGAAACTCTTCCCACTATTCCCCCACGGCCGTGGCGGTGATTGGGCCCGACAGCACGAACCACGCTGCCACCAGCGCTGCCCTGCTGAGCCCCTTCCTGGTGCCCCTGGTAAGCTGGAGCCCCAGCAGTTGGCCCATCTCCTCTTCTGGCAAGTCCAGCGTGAGCTGGGGCAAGGGGAGGGGGCTGCTGCACCCGAGGCCGGCCTGGCCGCTGGATCTCCTGGGTGGTCACTGCTTGTCAGTCACACGCAGAGGTCCTGCCTATCATGCTCCCGCCTCAGGGTTCCTTCCTCCCCAAGAACTGCTTCCAGACCTGCCTGCCTGAGCGCCCTCGGGAAGATCCGTTCTCCTTCGAGACCTCTGCCCCCTCTCCTTCCACTGTCCCGTGTCCTTCGTGAGGACGGAACACTTTTCGTTTTGCACCCCACAGACTTCTCCATATCTCCCCACTTCCCTCCCCCACCTTCGTCCAGGCTGTGGCTGAGGTGGGGCCTCCCAGTGTGCTGATGGCCAGTCCTGTCCCTCTGCTTGCCCACCTCTCCCCAGGCCGCCCGGAAGCTTCCATCCCCTCATCTTGCCGGCACGTCTACCCCCAGCACTGCTCTCGGCCCCTTTTTGAGGCGCCCCTGCACCACCTCTCGCTGGCTTGCTTCTCCCTCTTCTCATTTGCTTCTCGACCCACTGCCCCGTATTCTGCCCTCACTGCTCCTGCTCTCGCTGTGATCTCAGCCTTCTAGTTTCTGAGGCCACCAAAAGCTCTTCGGCCCTTCTTTACCTTACGTGACGACTTTGTGACATTTTTGACCAGTCCTTCTGGGACACTCTGTCCTTGGCATTTGCGGCCCGCCTTCCCTTGTGGCACCTCTTCCCCTGCCTCCCATGAGAAGGTGGGTGACTCCCCGGGGGCAGACCTCTCCCATTTCCGGGCAGGCCCTGGCCACAGCTGGACTTCCCATTCTGCAGCCTCTGTTTGGACTCCTGAGCACTGAGCCATACCCAGTGTCTCCACTTCATGGACCCAGCAGGCCCCAAACTGAGCTTATCTCCCAAAACAGCAAAAGCCCCTTCTTCCTGCATCCTGGTGCCAGCCCACCTGCCTGCGTGACCATCTCTACCCAAGCCAGACCCAGCCATCCTGCCTGTGTTCCTCCTTGCCCAGCACCACGGCTTCTGATCCCACCTTCCCATGCTGCCAGGTCCATCCCATCTTCTCCATCGCCACTGCCACATCTTTAACTCAGACCACCATGTCTCTCTTCTAGATGGTTCCATCAGCCTCCAGTGGGTTCTCCCTGACTCTGGCCTTGAGGCTTTTCTAACATATTCTTCACGGAATTAGAGATAGGCTCCTAAGACACAAATAGGAACATATCACTTCTCTGCCTACACCCGTATGGGCTCCCACAGTCTGCAGATGAAGTCCAGGCCTCTAGCATGAGAGTTAAGGCCTCCTTCCCAGACATACCTACCATGCTCTCCATCTTCCTGGCATCTGATCTCCAGCTGAGCGAAAGTCCTTGTAGGGCACTGAACATGACACCACTTCATCCCATGCTTGCGACTTTTGTTTCCTCCATCCACCAGGCAGATTCCAAACTTCTCCCAGAAGCCTCCCCTTGGGGCCTGCCCCTTCTCTGTGTGTAACTTGGCCTCAAGGGTCCAGTAATGCTCTCCCCTAGAACGGGGGCTGAGACCTCAACTCCATCTTCCCTGTGTCCCTGTGCCCAGTGCAGGGCCAGCAGGGGAGGGGGAGCTCTCAGTTGAGGCTGACATCATTGAATTGCTGACATGAACCCCCACAGATCAGCTATGAGGCCAGCAGTGTGCTGCTCGGGGAGAAGCGGCATTACCCCTCTTTCCTGCGCACCATTCCCAGTGATGAGCACCAGGTGGACACCATGGTGCGGCTGCTGCAGAGGTTTGGGTGGGTCTGGATCTCGCTGGTTGGCAGCGATGGCGACTACGGGCAGCTGGGGCTGCAGGCACTTGAGGACCGGGCCACTCAGCAGGGCATCTGCATCGCCTCAAAGGACATCATGCCCTTCTCTGCTCGGCCGGGTGACGAGAGCATGCAGAGCATGACACAGCACCTGGCCCAAGCAAGGACCACTGTCGTGGTCGTTTTCTCCAGCAGGCAGCTGGCCAGGGTGTTCTTTGAATCCGTGGTGCTGGCCAATCTGACTGCCAAGGTGTGGGTTGCCTCAGAAGACTGGGCCATCTCCAGATACATCAGCAGTGTGCCAGGCATCTGGAGCATCGGCACGGTGCTGGGTGTGGCCATCCGGCAAAGGCTTGTCCCTGGCCTGAAGGAGTTTGAAGAGGCCTATGTCTTGGCAGACAAAGGGGCCCAAAAGCCATGCTCCAGGGGCTCCCGGTGCAGCGGCAACCAGCTGTGCAGAGAGTGCCGTGCTTTCACGGTACAGAAGATGCCCACACTTGAAGCCTTTTCCATGAGCTCTGCCTACAATGTGTACCAGGCTGTCTATGCTGTGGCGCATGGCCTCCACCAACTCCTGGGCTGTGCCTCTGGAGCCTGTTCCAGGGGCCGAGTCTCTCCCTGGCAGGTGAGGCAGCCTGGCCCCTTGCACCCTGAATCAGGGGGCTTTCCTGAGGCAAGCCGAGTGGTCACCCCCTGGGTACCCTAAGTGCTGGGGGTGGGGACAAAGGCAGATTCCTTCTCCCAGACTTCCCTTCTCTGAACCTTGGTGCCCCTCAACCTGCTATGCCTCCGGGCCAGGGCTAAAAATCTCTGTAAAGGCTCTTTTCTTGGAGGCTTCCTCGCACTCAGGAGGCCGGATGGGAGAGTCAAGGAGAGGAGGGGGGGTGGTCTGAGAAGGGGCCATGAACTTCCAGACAGGCCAAAACTGCCCTGATAGAAGCCTGACCAGGCCCTAGGCATTTGCTTCCCGGGCTGTCTGGGTCTGGGAGGGCCCAGTCGGAGCAGCCTGTGTCATCTTCAGCTGTTTATTCCAGCTGCTGGGGCAGATCCACAAGGTGAATTTCCTTCTACACGAGGACATTGTGATATTTAATGACAGTGGGGACCCCCTCAATGGCTATGACATAATTGTCTGGGACTGGAATGGCCCCGAGTGGACCTTCAGGGTCATTGGCTCCTCCACACAGTCTCCAGTTCGGCTGGACATAAATAAGACCAAAATCCAGTGGCATGGAAAGGACAACCAGGTAATGAGACATGGTCACTTGCCAGGTTATTGCCTTATCAGCAGCCTGGAGCCTGGGGACAATGCTGACACAGCTTACCCAGCAGGGAGTGGGGGGGAAATGCCAGGTACTAGGCCACCCTGGCTCTACCCAGCCCTGCCAGGACAAATGTTCTCCATTCCCATATGAGCATCCCCTGACTGTGGCATGTGATTAAGAAACCCTGTGGCTTCTTGCAGGTGCCTAAGTCTGTGTGCTCCAGTGACTGTCCTGAAGGGCACCAGAGAGTGATTGTGGGTTTCTACCACTGTTGCTTTGAGTGTGTGCCCTGTGAGGCTGGGACCTTCCTCAACAGGAGTGGTGAGTGACCCATGGAGTGGGCGAAATGGCCAGCACTCCTGGGTCTGTGCACAGATGAAGGATTCTCCCACATGTGCAGAGCCTGGGCCTCAATCCCTTGGCTGCCAGTGAGGTACTGGTTTAAGGATGCCTGCCACCAGACTGAATTCTGATCAAGCAGAAACAACCAGTTGAAAGCTTCAGACCTAGTTGTGTCCTTTATTAGAGAGCTCTCAACCCAACTCCAACAGGTACAATCTTGTCCGTATTCCACTTCTTTATCCAGAGAGTTGTAGCTACGTTTCCTTTGTGCCCACCCATGCTGTCTGCATAAAATCCCTTCTACTGCCCATGCAAAAGAGGCCAGACCTTGAATAGACTGGCCTGAATGCAGACACAGGCATATCTACAGCAGGAAAAAAAAAAAAAAAGCAGCATACTCCACCCAGAGATGCAAAACCAAGGTCAGAGAACATATTGAAGTAGATACGGGTTTGGGGCACTGCCCACATTCTTTCTTTTTACTGAGAGTTAACTCAGAGAAATCACAGAGTGGCAGCTCAAGAAGGTGGATTTAGTTAGTGGAAGTGCTGGGGAGAGATGAAAGAGCCCATCCTTTGGGGCTGGCTGTTCCTTCGGATCACAGCCTTCCTAGCGTGTGGCAGAGCTACTGGAGTAAGGCCCTCCCTTGGGACCTCCTGGTTTGTAAACCCCTTCTGTGGTCATGAGCTTACAGCACCTACCAAAGCGTCTCCAGAATCTGTAATTAACACAGACACTTTGAAGAAACACATGATCTTGGGGCCCCACTCAGAGCTAGCCTTATCTCGCTGTGCCCAGCAGAGCTTAGCTCTCCCAGCACCTTGCGGGCCTGCACGGCCTCCCTTCCCCATTCCTGCCCTGCTCATATGGCTCTCAGAAGCCCTCTCCACCTTCCCTTTCAGACCTCCACAGCTGCCAGCCATGTGGGCGAGAAGAGTGGGCACCTGAGGGAAGCCAGAACTGCTTCCCACGCACAGTGGTTTTTTTGACTTGGCATGAGCCCATCTCTTGCATGCTGCTGGCAGCTAATACACTGCTCCTGCTGGTGGTGGCTGGGACTGCTGGCCTGTTTGCCTGGCACCTGGACACCCCTGTGGTGAGGTCAGCTGGGGGCAGGCTGTGCTTCCTCATGCTGGGCTCCCTGGCTGGGGGCAGTTGTGGTCTCTATGGCTTCTTTGGGGAGCCCACAGTGCCAATGTGCTTGCTACGCCAAGCCCTCTTTGTCCTCGGTTTTGCCATCTTCCTGTCCTGCCTGACAATCCGCTCCTTCCAACTGGTCTTCATTTTCAAGTTTTCTGCCAAGGTACCCACCTTCTACAATGCGTGGGTCCGAAATCATGGTGCTGGCCTGTTTGTGGTGATCAGCTCTACAGCCCAACTGCTTATCTGTCTAACTTGGCTTGTGGTGTGGACCCCACTGCCCATCAGGGAATACCAGCGCTTCCCTCAGCTGGTGGTGCTTGACTGCACAGAGGCTAACTCTTTGGGCTTCATGCTGGCTTTCGCCTACAATGGCTTCCTCTCGGTCAGCGCCTTTGCCTGCAGCTACCTGGGCAAGGACCTGCCGGAGAACTACAACGAGGCCAAATGCGTCACCTTCAGCCTGCTCCTCAACTTCGTGTCCTGGATAGCCTTCTTCACCACGGCCAGTGTCTACCAGGGCAAGTACTTGCCCGCGGTCAACCTGCTGGCGGTGCTGAGCAGCCTAAGCAGTGGCTTCAGCGGTTATTTCCTCCCCAAGTGCTATGTGATCTTGTGCCGCCCAGATCTCAACAGCACGGAGCACTTCCAGGCCTCCATCCTGAACTACACCAGGCGCTGCGGCTCCACGGCTCCACCTGACCACTGACTGGGTCGCGCAGGGCCACACCAGGCCGGGCCGACTGGAAGCCTCCCCTGCCCTGAGGGCTGAAGGTCGAGCGGGGCGCGCAGGGCCTGGGCTGTCTGGGAGGCCTTTGGGTTCCTTGGTCTTGGCTCGGGAAGCGTAAGCCCACGGGAAAGCACAGTCCGGGTTCCCGGCTGACAATAAAGAGGTGAAATGTGCGTCTAGGCTGAGCGTATTGTCTGGAGCGAGGGTGGGGCGCGACCTCTTCAAGCCTGAGGGCGCCGCGCGGGGTAATCGCAGCCGGAATCTCGGGACCCGCCAGAACCCTGCCAGAGCCCGAGCCCAGCTTGCCGTTGCCGGGCAACTCAGGGAGGCGGGCCTAGCCCCGAGAGATCCGGGGCTAGCCCCGCCCATGTCCTCATTCCATTGGCCCGTTCTCTGCGTGGTCCCACCCCCAGAGGCTGGGGCTGGAACCCTGCGCTTCTGAGGCGACCCACCACGGCAGCTCGCCATGACGTCACTTCCGGCGGCAGCGACCGCGTCTTCGTACGGTCGCCCGGGCACGTACGGCCAGGGCGGTTGGTCGGTGGGGTTGTGGAGGCGACGCGGCCTGAGACTGGTGGGGCCTGCGCAGGACAGTCCCGGGTGAGGAGGTCGGGGGCCGTGGTGCGAGGGAGGGAAGAGCTGTGGATCGCTGCGGCCGCTGGCGGAAGTGTGACCGGTGGCCTTCAGCCCGGCGGCTTAGGACGTGTGGGCGCGCGTGGGCTCCGCTCACCTGTCCGCAGCCGCCGCTGTCCGCTGCCCGAGGTCCTCTCGCTGTGCCAGGCCGATCAGTTCGCGTTGATCCCTCTTTTCCCAAACTTTAGTTCCTGCCACCAGCACCCCGTCACGATCATGCCCTGTCCCCCCGCCAAGCCATGCCTCCTCCCCCAACCGCCACCCATGTTCTGTGGTCGGCCTCAAGTTGGGCTGCTCCCCTGGCCTCGCCCCCACGGAGGTGTTCGGCGTGCATTCTTTGACCCAAGCCCTCCCTGTGATAAACGTGGCTATTTATAGAGCGGAGTTTACCTCCCCTTTCCCTCGTCTCAAATCTGGGGACTTTATCTTGTTATTACATTTGGGCTTCCAGGGTGTCACTTAACGCCTTCCTCCTCTCCAGACAGACCATGGATGGCTCCTTCATCCAGCACAGTGTGAGGGTTCTGCAGGAGCTCAACAAGCAGCGGGAGAAGGGCCAGTACTGCGACGCCACCCTGGACGTAGGGGGCTTGGTGTTCAAGGCGCACTGGAGCGTCCTTGCCTGCTGCAGCCACTTCTTCCAGAGCCTCTACGGGGATGGCTCGGGGGGTAGTGTTGTCCTCCCTGCGGGCTTCGCGGAGATCTTTGGCCTCCTGTTGGACTTTTTCTACACTGGTCACCTTGCCCTCACTTCAGGGAACTGGGATCAGGTGCTCCTGGCAGCCAGGGAATTGCGAGTACCAGAGGCTGTGGAGCTGTGCCAGAGCTTCAAGGCCAAAACCGCCGTGGGACAGGCACCAAGTGGCCAGAGTGGGCTGGGGAAACCTGCTCCCCAGGACGTGGACAACAACCTTAAGGAGCAGGCAGGCTTGGAGGAAGAGGAACTTTCAAGGACCCTGGGTCAGGCCCCTAGGGATCAGGAGCCCAGTGGCAGTCCCAGCCCCCAGAGGCCCCAGCTTGGTCTCCCTGCTCAGAGCGCGAGCCCCTTCTTCCTCCGTGGGAAACTCAAGCAGGCCCTGAAGCTTTGTTCCCCAGAGGACAAGGAGCCTGAGGATTGCAAAATGCCCCCAAGGCCCTTCGAGGCTGAAGGTGCCCAGCTGCAGGGTGGGAGTAATGAGGTACTGCTTGCAGGGTGCTGGAGGTGGGGAGGCAGGAGTGGGGGGAAGAGACCGACTTCTGGGATAACCTGGATCCCAAGGTACAGTCTCTGTTATGTGGGTTTGGGAGAAGTTTTTTCCGAGTATAGGAAGCCGGCTCCATCCTGCAGTCTTACACTGTCTTTTCTGCAAGTCACAGCTGTCCATGGTTGCCAGTGTTTTGGGGTGGAATGGGTAGCATCAGGGTTACAGGTGTTTCCCCAGGGTAGTAAAATCCAAACTTCAAGTTCCGCATAGATAGATCCACTGCCCTCCAAATCCAAAATCCAGAAGCTGCCTGCTCTGGGACCCTGAAGGGAAGAGTCACTGAAGAAGGGATTGGCCTGGTGATGTGCCTGGGTTGGGCCTTGGGATGGAACTGGATGGAGCTGCCTGCCCTTTAGGTCCGTCCCCAGAAGCCCTGCCAATTAATTTCGTGACATCGCTCCCTCCCGCTGCCTCTTCTGCTCTAGTGGGAAGTGGTGGTTCAAGTTGAAGACGATGGGGATGGCGATTATGTTTCTGAGACTGAGACTGTGCCGGCCAGGAGGAAATCAAACGTAGTCAGAAAGCCCTGTGCTGCCGAACCAGCCCTGAGCACAGGTGCCATAGCAGCTGAGCCCACTGAGAACAGAAAAGGTCCAGCAGTGCCGGTTGAATGCCCTACATGTCATAAAAAATTCCTCAGCAAATACTATCTAAAAGTCCACAACAGGTAAACGTTCTGTTTTTCTATTTTCTCTCCCCATCTGCCCTCCCCATGTTGGGAGAGGGGGTCTGCACTTACCACTTCTGGGCTGTGTGTGGGGATTGGGGACTACACCTCAAACCCACAGAATGCCCGGTGTTGGAATGCCTCTAATCAAAGAGAGAGAACTTAGCCCTGGTTCAGATTCCTTCCCCCTCCTCCTGTGAGCCCACTGATTGGAGTGGGTTTGTGGACACCTTGTCTACAGGTTCCACCCTCTGTGGACTTTGACCTCCAGCTGGCGTCTGCCCAGGGATCGAGAAAAGCGTGTGGCCCTGTGCTGTGGCTGAAGCCTGACCTTGGGTGTTTCTCAAGTCTGGCAGTGTGAGCTTTGGGCCAAATGTCAATCTTTAGGGCTGGTGCCGCCTACATTTCTGAGGAAATACTAGCCCTAGGGTGAATGTCAGTGCAGCACAAAAGGTCACTTGTCTAAAGCTGCAGTGTCCAATAAGGTAATCAGGTGCCATATAAAGGTATTTTAACTTAAAATTAAGTAAGTTCAGTTCCTCAAACACACTAGCCACATTTCAAGTGCTTGGTAGCCACACGTGGCTCCCAGCCGCCAAACTGGACAGCACAGACTGAATATTTCCATTATCCCTGGGAGTTCTCTTGGACGGCGTTGCTCCAGTTTCCACAAGGCCTCCAGGGATGGCAGCTAGGTGACATGCCTGCCACTCCCTAACTCAAGGCATCACTAGGCCACCACAGTGAGATTTCTTGCCAAATCAGTTGGGCATGTGTTCTCTCAGTATGACACTTTGGGATACCACTAGCAGCTGACTGGAGTTGGAGCTGGAGGTGAAACCTGTTTGCTCTTCCTGCTTTGGGGCAGCCGCTGCCAGTGTGGGCTCTGGGTGTGGAGGCACCTTGGGTGGTCTGCAGCTGCCTGGGCACTCCACCAGTGTAGGACAGTGCAGGCCCATCCCATTCCCATCCCCACCTTGGGCTGCAGGCTGCTGTACTGGCTCTGAGAACTGGGAGAGGGTGACAGCCTCTTGAGATCTTTGGGATGGGGAACAAGGACGGGCTGTAGCAGCAGAGGATGAGAGAAGCGTCTGGTCTCTGGTGGGTTGTGAGAGCCCTCCTGGCACTGTTCTGTGCTCTGAGGTCAGGGTTCTTTTAGTTCATTCAACAAGCTGCCTGCCGGGTAGCTGACAGGACTGTTCTGCACACTTGGGATACCTTGGTGAGCAGAACACAGAGGCATTGTGGCACTTGCCTTCCACCAGAGCGAGGCAGACCCTGAACTGACAGAGATGGAACTTTACGGTGTTTGAAGATAGAAAGCACCATGATTAAAGGAAAAGGACAGCAGCGCCGCTGGGCTGGAGCTCAGGGTGGGGTCAGGTGGCGATTTTAAAGGAGATTTGAGCAGCCTCGGAGGAGGCGAGGAAGCGCAGAGGGAGGCTTGGGAGGGCCGTGGGCCAAGAGGAGAGGCAGAGTGGGGGCCGTGGCGGGGAAGGGGCCACCTGCACCCTCCTGGGCCCCAGGCCTTTTCTTAGGATGAGGAGGGAAGCACTGGAGGGTTGTGAGCAAAGAGGTGACGGGGTCTGACCCTCTTCGAGGCCCCTGTGGCTGCTGAAGGGGGCAGGTGTGGAGCAGACCACCAGGTGGCAGGCTCTGACGGCAGCCAGGGGGCTGCACGGGCGCGCAGGTGGGTAGTGGTGGAGGTGAATGCTGTTGAAGGTAGAGCCTCCATAGAGGAGTTCTAGGCAGACTGAGTGGTTTCTCCAGGGAGCTGGCAGCCAGGGATTATTTCTGCCTTCAGAGAGATGCCAGCCTGCTGGCCTCCCCCGTGGCCTGTGTGGCTGTCCCTGGCAGCGAGCTGTGTGGGGTCCAGCCCCAGCCCTCTCCCTGCAGTCTCCACACAGGAAGACGTTCCTGGGCTCACCTGCTGGGTCTGACCGACCCGGATGGTGAGCCAGCGCAGCCTCAGGACTGCCCTCTTTGCCGTGCTCACAGCATGGTCGGGGCACATGGGGGCACTGGGGGCACTGGGTGAGGGAGAGGCGGGAAGCCTGTCGCCTTCCTACACCTGCTGTGCTTCTCCTGGCAGAAAACACACCGGGGAGAAACCCTTTGAGTGCCCCAAATGTGGCAAATGTTACTTTCGGAAGGAGAACCTCCTGGAGCATGAAGCCCGGAACTGCATGAACCGCTCAGAACAGGTACTCGTGGGCAGGGACATGCTGGCCACTCTTCTGTCATCCGTGAGGGGTCCCAGGAAACTGTCGTAGGAATGTAAACTCAGGAGAGCTGCAGGGTCCTTGGATGCCATCAAGTCAACTCCTTGGTATTACAGGTGGGAGACACAGGTCCTAGGGGTAGAAGTGACAAACCCCAGAGGGACTTTGTGGGGTGCATTTGGGGTTTGCCTGGCCCCCTGGGCTTTGGTTGGGGACGGCTGTGAGAATGGCCACCTCCCTGATCCCACTGGCCTGCCCTGCAACACGACTGGCTAAACGCTACCCCTTTTCTTCCTAGTGGCCTGTAAGCGTCATGTAGCTGGGGGTGTCACGGGGGGTGTGCACCGCTCAGCGATGGTCAAGGTCAGGGCAGGCAGGTTCTGTGTTGCCCTCTCCCGACCTAGCGTCCCCGCCTTGGGCAGACTCCTCCCAGCAGCGAGTGGAAGCCCAGGCAGAGGCTGCTGTTGCAGGCAAGGCTCCCCCTGATGCGGCCCCGCTTGCCCCCCACACTGCCAGGTCTTCACGTGCTCTGTGTGCCAGGAGGCCTTCCGCCGGAGGATGGAGCTGCGAGTGCACACGGTGTCCCACACAGGGGAGATGCCCTACAAGGTCAGGCTTGGCCTGTCCCCAGGGCCGTGGGCTAAGGGACAGCCCCAGGACCCCTCCCGAGAGCCCTGGATGTGGGATGGTGCCAGTGCCTCTCCCTTGCCAGCTGTCACGGAGCCCTATCTGGTGTCCCCATACCTTTAAGCTGGGCCACAGGCCCTTTCTGGGCTCTTGTTTCTTCCCTTGGAGAGCAGGCTTAGCACCCGTGAGCATGGCACTGGGGGCTCTCCCTGGTGTGTCCTTTGCACCAGGTCAAGGAGCCTCCTGGTGCCTCAGGCTGGGTCCTGCCTCTAGCCCAGGGGGTGGCCAGGGTTCCGTGGGCACAGGCCGCCTCCAAGGTGATGTGGGCCTGTTTTTCAGTGTTCCTCCTGCTCCCAGCAGTTCATGCAGAAGAAGGACTTGCAGAGCCACATGATCAAGCTGCACGGAGCCCCCAAGCCCCATGCCGTAAGTGCCAGGCCGCACCAAGGGCTGGGGATGAGCAAACATGAGGCAGTTGTAGCTGTGTCCAGAATGGGCAGGCAGTGTGGTTTCTGTCTTGTGGGCCCACCTGTCCTCACCCTGGCCTTGCTGCCTCTGCCTTGCAGTGTCCCACCTGTGCCAAGTGCTTCCTGTCCCGAACAGAACTCCAGCTGCACGAAGCTTTCAAGCACCGTGGGGAGAAGCTGTTTGTGTGTGAGGAGTGTGGGCACCGGGCCTCAAGCCGAAATGGCCTGCAGATGCACATCAAGGCCAAGCACAGGTGAGCTGGCCCTGCCGCCGGCTCCAGGCCAGGGAATGGGCTGGGGAGGCAGAGTTCGCTGTCACACGGGACAGAGCACCCACCACCCTGAGTCTGGCACCTGTAGTCTTTCTGGGTGGGGGTACCTGAAGGATGAGGAGTTTGCCAGGCAGAGAGGCTGGGGGAGGTGGTGTCAGGCTAAGACAAGGGCAGATTCTGAACTTCATGGTGATGGAGCTGGTGCCCTTTCGCTGGCACTGCCCAAGCCCTCCTCCCGCCGGGCAGCCCGATGCAGCCTGTACCTATTCCAGTTGCTCAGACAGGCCTGTCCCTGTGTCCCCAACCCGGACAGGAACGAGAGGCCGTACGTCTGTGAGTTCTGCAGCCATGCCTTCACCCAGAAGGCCAACCTCAACATGCACCTGCGCACGCACACCGGCGAGAAGCCCTTCCAGTGCCACCTCTGTGGCAAGACCTTCCGCACCCAAGGTGAGTCGGGCCCACCCGCTCCTGTCCTAGTGCTGAGGCCCAGTGTGAGCCCTGGCCTTGTCCCCACAGCCAGCCTGGACAAGCACAACCGCACCCACACTGGCGAGAGGCCCTTCAGCTGTGAGTTCTGTGAGCAGCGCTTCACGGAGAAGGGGCCCTTGCTGAGGCATGTGGCTAGCCGCCACCAGGAGGGCCGGCCTCACTTCTGCCAGATCTGTGGGAAGACCTTCAAAGGTACCTGGGCTTGCAGAAGGCCACTGCCCCAGCCCCTGCCCTGGGGGGAACAGAGGGCTGGGCCATCTGCCGACGGCCAGAGTCCGAGGTTCTCCTCGCCCCGGGGTTGGGGGGTCAGGGCAGCCATCTCTTCCATTCCCCACGCCATTAGTTGTGAGCTTGGCGCTGCTTTGGCTTGGTTGCGGGGTGGAAGATCCCAGGGGTCCTGTGCACCTTGGGGTGGTACTATAGAGCCTGGCAGGGCCCTGAACAGCAGCTGCAAACCACAGGACTGCCTCCATCTCAGGGCGCCCACACCCCCCCACCTCCCCTCTGCTGATGCTGGGGGTCCCTTCCGTTCCGCAGCGGTGGAGCAGCTCCGTGTGCACGTCAGAAGGCACAAGGGGGTTAGGAAGTTCGAGTGCACAGAATGTGGCTACAAGTTCACCCGGCAGGTAGGCCCGGACCCTGGGTCACCTGCTCCAGGTCCCCCCCCATGCAGCCCTCCCCCGACCCTTCCCCTCCAGCACCTCCTGCCCTCGCAGCCCTGAGCCCCCACTCTGCCCAGGCCCACCTGCGGAGGCACATGGAGATCCACGACCGGGTGGAGAACTACAATCCGCGGCAGCGCAAACTCCGGAACCTGGTCATTGAGGACGAGAAGATGGTGGTGGTGGCGCTCCAGCCGCCTGCTGAGCTGGAGGTGGGCTCTGCCGAGGTCATCGTAGAGTCCCTGGCCCAGGGCGGCCTGGCCTCCCAGCTCCCTGGCCAGAGACTGTGTGCGGAGGAGAGCTTTGCAAGCCCGGGTGTCATGGAGCCCTCACTCATCATCACAGCTGCCATCCCTGAGGACTGTGACACATAGCCCACCCTGCCCACCACAGCTTCCTTGGCTCCAGCCCCCAGTAAACATGGCTTTGGACTTGTTTGTTTCAGCCCATCCAGTGGTCTGTTCCCCAGTAACCTGGCCTCCAGGGACGTGTGCTTTCCCACCATGTCCTCTAGAAGAAAGTGCCCTGTCTAGTCCTCTGCACCTGGTGGCTAGGCCAGCAGCCTCCCTGCCTTGTTGGACCTCAGCAGTGAAACTTGGTGGGTAGTTCTGGGGGCCAAGCCTCTGCCCAGAACACTCATCTATCTCCTGTCCCTCATTCTGTCAGGGTTTTCGAACTGGGAACAGTGGCCAGATACATAGTAGTGTTCCTATTTTGTAACAGTGCCAGCCTGCTGAGTAGAATTCATTACTAAGCCTCTGGAGTCCCAGCGGAGTGGCCAGGGCCCCTGGAGGGTCCTGCTGGCTGGAGGGTCGGGTTCATGGCCGAGCAAGCTCTGGACACTGACTGGTGGCAGGACAACTGTAGGCCCCTTTCCTTGAGAGGACCCTCTTGGTTTGCTTGTCTAGGAGGCCAGGGGCTCAGGCAAGGCCAGGCCTAGAAGGGTGAGAGTCCCCGGGGACCCAAGTTCTAGTCCTGGGGAAAGGCAGGGTGGGGTGCTCTGTGTCTCAGAGGAGGAGGGCGGGTGGGGCACTGGAGGCTGGCTGCCAATCCCTTAACTCCTTAATTATTGCTCTGTGACCTGAGGCAAGTCACTACTTCATTTCCTCATCTTTAAATGCAATTAGCAACAGTACACGCTTCATGGACAAGGATTAAATGAAGAAGCCAATGTCCCAGTCATCTGCTGTTGGGTAACAAGGTGCCCAAGTTTCCCAGGGGGTGAGGGGTCTGATTCCAAGGTGGTTCACTTCTGTGCCTGGAGGTCGGCGCGGGCTGTGGGCCTGGTCCTTCCGCAGGCTGCCTGGGCTCCCTCACAGCATGGCGGCAGGGTGCGAGGGCAAATGTCCTGAGAGGCCAGTGCTGCAAGGCCCTTGATGAGTCAACTCTGGAGGCCACGTCACCCGTCATGTTGTACAGGTCCAGGCAGTCCCCGAGACATCACTCCCCACATACACACAGGGGAAGGGAACAGACCCCACCACGTGATGGAAAGCATGTCAAAGAACCTGTGTGAGCATTTAACACCTGCCCCACCTGAAGCACGTGCTGGTGGAGCTTGGCATGAAGTGAGCTGAGTCACTGGTAGTCACTGGTAGTACTGGTCACGGCCAAGGGCTTCAGTCAGGGCTCCTCCCTTCCCAATCCCATCCCTGCAGGACTTGAAACACCAGCCTGTGCTGTGCTCAATTCCTCCTGGAGTTTGAGGACACCTACCTTCCATTTTAGACCCAAGAACTCTTTGAAGCATCTTCCCTTCTCCCTGACCATGGGGGAGCTCAGAAGTGACAACTGTCAAAATGTAATGGGTGACGTGCTTCAGAGCTGTGTTGGCCAGGGTATTAGAAAGGCAAACTGGCCTCAAAGCTGCTCCCTTCCCAGCCCAGGCCCTGGCCTCTTCCTTGGGTGCTGACGGGCCCTGCAGATGTGGGGACAGTTTCACACCCTGGCCTCGTCTTGTATCCTTTAAGGGTCTGCCCAGCCAGGTCCAAGGTTCACCCACTAAGATGGGGATCTCTGCATTTAGGGCAGCACCTTGAAGTGGGTGGGGGAGTGAGGCAAGGGGCAGAGGGCCCGGAGGTGGGGCCGGGGAGGCTGAAACCAGCTTCAGTGCTGGTGGAGTGAGTACTGGGCCCTGCAGTCCCTCCTTTTTGGGCGCAGTCCCCCTTTCACTACTTCACACCCCCTGACGACCCCAGATGAGGAAGGGCCTGCAAAGCTTTGCTCCCACATGGCTGGGCTGATCCCTGGGCTCTCCCAGCCTACCTCTCCCTGGCCCTTTAAGCCTTCTCCGTTACCTTCACCCCATGTCTGACCTCAGGCTTCAAGCACAGCAGGACAAAAGTGATGACACCAAATGTATAGCAAATATTTTTATTTCAGAAAGTATGTACTGAAAGCATCCTAAGATCTTACAGAGGATTCTGGACACACAAACCTACAGAACAAATAAATATGCAAACTGCCCCCCTTGTTGGACACATGAGGGTGTCCTTAGTACATGAGTCTCCCCGAAGCCATATAAATACAGAACACTATAGTAGCTCAGCATTAAATACTAGTCACCAGCCTTTCATAACTTTTGTCCCGTGGACTGATACTTGTGTATATCTGGCCCACAGACCACCCCACCCCCAGCTGGCCCTGCCTATGTCCCCAAGTCAGTGTACAGACATCCCTAAGTGGTGGGGGCCTCACAGCCTTGAACCTGTGCCCAGGGGAGCAGGAAGGGCAGGGAAGGGAGCCGGGCATTTCAGAAGGGTCATCCCTGATGCATGATCCCTGCGATGTGGCTGCTGCCTTCCTTTCCTGTCCTTGATCTTTTAAACCAAGGTTTAAAAGTTGGTGGGGGCCTGGGTAGCTCTAGAGGGCGAACACGGAGGCCACGAGCCCACCCCACAGCAGCCACCTCTTGTGCAGCCCCGGGGACCAGGAAGGCCAGGCTCGGCGCGGTACCCAGAGGAGGGGGGGCCGAAGACCCGAGCTGCCCAGCCCCCGGCATATGTGTACCTGCCATGGGGGCTCAAGGCAGTTTTTTAAGAAAAACAAGAAAGCATTTACAACTCCCCATCTCACCAAAAAAGCTTTACATGGTACCTGTCCCTGCAAGTCACTATATGGAAAATCCTTGACCCCGACAGAGTCCCAGGCCCCGACTGGAAGGAGGTGGGGAGAGCTCTGGTGACTGTGCACACATCTACCCTCCACTCCCCACCCACCTTCTTGGGCTGCTGGGGGGGCCCTCTGTGGAGACCGCCCCTAGGAAGGGCACCCGGCATCCTCGAGATCCAGGTCTACACCGTTCCTCTAGGAGGCCCCCCAGTGCCTGTCAGAGTCCATGCCCCACACCGACCTGGCAGGGAACACTCTGGCACTGAACCTGGTGCCCTGCCGTCCCTCTGCCACAACAGAGACAGGAGACAAGCCATCGGGCCTGGGCAGCCTGTGCCTGCAGGGGAATCGGTGAATGTGGCCCTGGGAGGGCAGCACGCAGGGCAAGACAGTGCAGGTGGTAGGGGTAGGGGAGTTCCAACTCATGGGGAGGGTCCCCAAGGAGGCAGGGCCCCACAGCAGCAGCCAGCCCCCAGAATCCCAGGTGCATGTCGACCCAAGGCCCATGGGGCCCAAAGCTGGCACTCAGGAGTGACCAGGGTAGCCCCAAGTCCTGGGGGACAGGAAGGGCTGGCTGGGAACTGTGGCCACTCCATCAGAGCAAGCCATCTCATCTGACAGCAATGACAGGGCACTAGGATGCCTCATGGGCTCTCAGGAGGGAAGGCAGGGCACCAACCTGACAGCCCTGCAGGACACGGGGCCCCATGCACCCCCACCCCTTGCCATCTGGCCAACGTGCAGGTTTTAAGGGCCACTTTCTAAGTTGAGGTGCTAAACTTTTTTCCCTCCTGGTGAGAACTCATCTCTGTTAGTTCACTGAGAAAAGGCAACTCCATGAACACCTGCTGTCAATTTCCCTAGTGAGGATGCAGAGACCCTCCTCTCTGGAAGCGAAGGAAGACAGTCAAGCAAAGGCTATTTCGGGGATCTTGAGGGAACAAAATCACCCAATCCACACAGATGATCACAGTCCCTCTACAGTTTCCTGGGAGCTCCTCTTGGCTACTGAGGAGATGAGGTATTTCCCCCACCCCTGTGGACAGCTTCAGTGGCACTCTAATGTTAATTTGTTAAAAATCTAACAAACCTGACCCTGTTTCTAGCTGCCCTGCCCACCATCCCCTGCCAACCTGTCTCTTTTTAAGGGTCAAAATGCATTTTAAAACCTGCAATCAACCACAGAGAGGCCGAAAACCCAAGTGCTGGGGCTTCCTTTAGAAGTGTCAGGATTTCAGTGGTGTTCAGGCTGGCGGAGTGTCTGCAGCTGTTTGCCAGCCCAGGGCATCCCAGTAAGGAGCTGCGAGCCCACACGTGCAGGTTTTCACCCTCTTCCGCATCAACCTGGGATAAAGGTCCTCAAGAGGTCTCCAAGTTAGGTGGGGACACATGGCTGGTGAGATGGGTAGACAGGGATCCTGTTTCTAGCTGCCCACCATCCCCTGCCAACCTGTCTCTTTTTAAGGGCCAAAATGCATTTGCCTCAGCCCAAGTCCGCAGGAGTCAGCAAGCACTCAGCAGGTCTGTGGAGCCTGGCAGAGGCCACACTCCAGTCCTGCCACTCTGGGCCTTGGGTCTGAGCTCATGTCAGGGACGCCCACCCCATGAAGAGTGTTTTGGTGTGAGACCCCAGCAGGGGCATGGAACTAGGCAGGCAGACCCCTTCCACCCAAGGCGCTGGCCCACTGCATGTGGAGCTTGGGCCCCTGCTGTAGCCATCACCTGATTCCTGAAGCTCCAGGACAGCGGGGCCCACCAGAAGTCCGGCCTAGGCCACCTCAGACCCTCCTGGGAGGACCCCTCCTCCTCCCCCGGCATCCTGGAAGTGGCTATTGCTCCTCTCCCACACAGGAGCAGGAATGCATAGGTGGTGGCAGCAGGTGGGTGTGCCCTGTGTTGGTGAGATGGGGCCTGCAGGTTGGGGTGACCTGGTGGGGCCAGAGACACGTGCCAGGAGGGAGGCAGCATATCCCGGATGGAAGAAGGAACATTCGCAGCTGGCTTTGGCCCCGGCAGCTGTGACTCAGACTCTCAAGCGCACAGACTCCCCAGGTGCCATACCCTGGGGCTCGCTCAGCAGCCCAGGAGCCTGGGCTCCACCTGGAGAGCCCAACCTGTCCTTGTGCACAGAGGGGGCTGTCGCCCCCTAGAGGTGTCGGGTTACCTGCACCGAGGCCCTGCCGGGGCCAAGCCGGGGCTAATGCAGCTCGTTGGGGTTCTGCAGCAGCCGGGGCCGGCCCCCGTCCACGTCACTGCTGCCACTGTTCAGCTCAAAGCTGCGCCCGCCTGAGAGCACCTGGGGCATGAACTGGCGGAAGATGCTGACGCTGCCGTGCCAGAAGGTGGGCTCGGGGAGCCGCCCCACCACACTCCAGGCCCGAGTCTCTGGGTCATATGCTTCTACCACGTCCGACAGTTCAAACGTATTATCATACCCCCCTGAGACATACAGCTTCCCTCCAAGGACGGCCAGGCTGCCCCCGACATGCACCTGTGGGCCAAGGGGGACAGATCAGCGAAGGCCAGTGGGCAGAGGCCCTGAGGTCCTCTCTGTGCAGAAGGTGCATGAGACCCTTGGGAAGGGCAGCCTCAGCACTTCTGGAAGTGGTGTGGGAAACCACCCTTGACCCTCTTCCCAGGACAGGCCCATGCCCTCTCTGCACCCGAGCTAGGAAAAAGGGGCTCCAGTCTAGGGGGTCATGTGTTCCACCAGGTCCTTCCAGTGGTCAGGGGGCTGCGGAGGCACCAAGTCTCCCTGTGAGCACCACTGCAGCGGACTATTCTCCCCATCTTACAGGTGAGAAAAATGAGTTTGGTATGGCAGAACTGGGACCTGACCCTAAGTCTGTTCTGAACACAAGCCTGGACCATCTTTCCCAGGTTTGCTGTAACAAGTACGTACGTTACACTTCCTAAGTGTGAAGATGCTAAACTTGGATGGTAAACTGTAAGATTTGCCCTGTAGAGGTACATGAGAATAGGTTTGGAAATTAAGAAGAAACATCGGGGGTGGGTGCAGATGAGTACCCGGGACTAAGGGGATAGATAGCCCATATGGCCATGCTGCCGAGCCTTCCCCGTCCATCACCCTGTGGGGTTCAGTGCCTCTCTTCTCCATAAGCAGAGCAATAGGAGACCTCAATGAGGTGGTGGAAACCGTGTGGGTGTCCTATTCAGAGCACACAGCAGGTGCTCAATAAATGTATTCCAAGGTCACTCCCCAGAGGCCTCCTATCTGGTGTCATACCCTCTGTATGTTCCACTCTGCTCCAGCCACCCTGAGCTGCTCTGGCACCCCAGGGCCTTTGCACTTCCTGTCTCTCTGTGGAACACTCTTTCCTAGTATCTGCTCTGGCTCATAGCAGGTAGTCAGTGAATGCTGGTATGAACTGATGAACTCCCTAAGCTGTATATGACCCTGTCCCTGTGGCCCCCAAGTACAAAGCAACACCACTAGCTCTGTTAAGTAAGGTAACACCTGGAAAAGGCTCAATACAGGCCCCACCCACCAGGACTGTCTCCCAAACACTTATGACAACACTTAGTCCAGAAAACAAGACCAGCCTGTGCCTCCAACATTAATGTACCTGATTCATAGGCGGGATCTTGTCCCATTCGTTCTTGGTGGGGTTGTAGACGTCCACCTCGGCAGAGTCATCCCTGAGGAGGAATATAGGCAGAGAGGGTCAGAATGAGGAGGCGGCACACCCGAGTGGGGCAGGCCAGAGGAGGGTCCTCCAGGTCCCTCCCTTTTGGGAGACTGATGCCATCTGGCAGGCCACTGGCCAGGGGGACACTATTCCCAGCTGACTGGGGCCACTTTCAGGTCCCTACACCTATCTGGCCTTGGCTCTCAAGTCAGAAACCAGCCTTGCTCTCCAAGCCAACACCCGGCCCCTCCCCTTCCTGTGGCCACACAGGTTTTGCTTGCTTCACATTGGTCTTCCCACCAGTCTCTGCCCTATCTTTCTGACCTGGACTTGTGCCACCTCCACGGCTGACCAGGCCAGGCCTCTGCCCCACTACACACCCCCACGCACCCTGGGCCACTCCCCTCAGTGCCCCACCCCATCCCGTTCACTGCTGGGGGCCCAGCAGGACAAGCACGGTTGCATTAATGGAGATCCCAGCGTTCCCCCTTCCCTGTGGGGTCAGAATCGTCAGCCTTGTTTGATGTGCCCCTGATCCCTGCAATACAAGGCTCAAATGCAGTGTCTCTGAAGAGCAAAGACACTACCACCCAAACAGTAGTAGCAACAACTACGCTCACAGGTCAGGGGTCAGCAGAAGGGCCAGATGGTAAACACATCCGGCTTTGTGGTGCAGACAGTCTGTGGCAATTCTCCAGGGCCTCCCGCAGGGTGCAAACGCAGCCTTAGGTGTCCTTAAACTAGGGGGCTGGCTGCATTCCAGTAAGACCTTATTTCTAAGCACAGCAATCGGCAGTCTTCCTCTGCAGAGCAAAGCACCCCAGCCACTGGGCCACCTTAACTGGGGCTGTGGCAGGTGGAGGCAGAACAGCCCAGAACAGCAGCAGCCGATGAGGTGGCTCAAGAGGCACCGAAGTGCATAGTGCGGCTCTGGGACAAACACTCAAGGGCATCAGACCCAGCCTCTGGCCCTTGCCCACCACTCACCTGGAGACGGGTGGAGTGGGGGGGTGCCCGGAGCCCCCATGACTGAGAACCCATGCAAAGGCTAGCAGTGTGTATGGGGGCATACAAAAGGCTTTGGTGTGAGGGTTGAGCGGCTGACTAATGGGGCTCAGACCAGTAAGAAAGCAGGGGGCTGTGGGCACACCGTGCTCTAGGCCACAGGGCAGGAGGACATTTTCAAAGGCACTCAACCTGGAGCTCCTGTGGAGGGGCCAGAAACAAGGTCCTGGCGCTCCATTCAGTTTATTTATAGCTGTCTCCACCCCTCTTTGAAGATACTCCTGTGGCCTGGGAGAGGGCGAGCTGGGCGGGGGTCAGATATTTTATAACAGGACCAGGAGCTGGCTGGGGCTCCAGGGCAGAGCAGAGCAGACCGCAGGTAGCTGGCATTTGGCAACGCTCGTCTCCTGGCCACCTGCCGCAGCAGCACCTTAGTTCTGAACATGCTCACCCTGAAGGCTGGGCAAAGAGCCTCCAGTCAGGGAGGGGCGGGCTAGGCAGGCAGCTAGGTCCTGCGAGATGAGGTGAGGGGTGACGGGGGGTTGGGGGGCAACGGCACACATCCCCTGAGGCTCCCAACTCAGAGGCAGGCTGTTCAGAGGGGTAGGGTAAGCCTCCCAAGCCCCTAGTCTGTGAGGGGACAGAGGGGACGGCTGTTTACATCTTACCCTCCCTTGCTGGTCCCATGCCTTCAGGCAGGCTGTAGGCCAGGTTTAGGGGCTGTCAGCACACAACCTACAAGTGGCTAGGCACACACACATGCACACACACAAGCTGTGAGCACGGGCAGGCACTCCTAGCTCCCCAGGTGCTCACGGACCCTCCAGGAGGGGCCATTTGGCTGTAATGCATCAAGACTTGAAGAGGCCCAGTGACCCACCAGCTGCCAAGGCCACAGCCTGGCCCAGGGAGGCCATGATGTAGTGATGCCACACGGGCACCTTGTCAGATGACCTTGGTTCCAACCCTGTGACCCTAAGCCCCCACCCCTCTGGGCCTCTGTTTTGCCATCTGTGAATGGGGATGACCTGGCCATCTCATCAGTCGCAGAGATCAATTGAAAATGCTCCTGAAGCTGACGACAGCGTGCACGGTGCGTGCAGGGCCCCACTTGTGCTAACCACTGCCACGGCTCCCACAGGGGGCTGCCGGCCTGCTCAGTACCAGGTCCCTCCCTGATTCACAGGGGCTGTGGACCATGGAGAACAACCTTCTTTCAACAGGACTCGTGAGTCCTCCCTGAACCAGAACAGGCGGGAGGTGCCACTTTAGTCAGGGGCCAGAGCTGATCCCTCTACCTGCTGGCAGCCCCCCACCCAAGTGTGCACACTCTGTGAGGTGGGCAAACGGTCTCTCTGCCAAGGCGACTCCTCCCCAAAGGCTCAAGCATCCAAAGAGCTCTTCTCTGATCTTTTACAGATAAAAAGTCTCTCTTAGGTGGGACAAGTTCCTTTTCCATAAATGCCATGTGAGAACCAGGCTTTTGGTGGGATCCTCCAGGTGAAGCCTGGCCAGAAGGACGTATTCTATTTAGATTTTGCGAATCTCAAAAAGCTCTCTGAAAGGACCTAACTTCATCGCAGCTGGAACTCCTTAAGAAAACCTAGAAGCCCACAAAAGCTACTCTAAGGAACAGGGCAATGGAACAAAGGGTCAGATCCCTGCTTGGCCTCAGTTTCCTCATTTGTGAAACGGGAGAACAGTGATGATGAGCTTAGCAGGGTACTGCTAAAATGATGACCTGGTGGCCTTGGCCCCTGGGGACTCACCTGATGAAGTACATGAGTCCATTCAGAGTCACCGTCTTGGGGGCAAAAGACCAGGGTGGGAGCTGGCCACAGTCCACCAGCGACCACAGGCCCGCGTCCGGGTGGTATGACTGCATCACCATGGCCTCCTTGCCGGCCAGGGAGCCGATGGCGTAGAGTCGGCCACGGCAGGCAGTGGTAGAGCAATTGTCCATGGGGTAGGTCATGGGCTGCAAGGCCTCCCAGGAGTCAGTGGTGTGGTCATAGCGCTCCGTGCTGTCCGCAGCCACCACGTACAGCAGCCCGTCCAGCACAGAGGAGCTGTGGTACTCGCGGGCCTTCAGCATGGGTGCTGCCTCTGTCCACTCGTTCACACTGGAGTTGTACCTCCACACGCAGTCGTAAAGCCTTGAGCCGTCTGATCCACCTGCCGGGACACACGATAGACAGGTCAGCCCACGTGGACGCAGGGTGAGTCACACACCTGTGCCTCCCTGAACTCTGGAGCGGGTGTCTCCCGGGTGAGGGATCGAGCCTCACTGGGCGTCTGTGCGAACATGGCCTCTTCCCAAAGCCAGGGCTAAGGCGACAGATGCTGACCACCGCCCAGGACGGCTGAGCTTCAGGCCACAGGAACACTGCCAAAACCGTGTGGGCCAAGCAGAGGCCCTGGGCTGCAATTCTAAGTAAACAGAGCCTGGGTCTGGCCTGCCCCCGACCCCACTTAGTCAAACACCTCAACTGGATCTGGGCCTCGACTCAGCCAATTCTCCTGGGAGCCACAAAGCATGTGTGTACATGTGTGGGGGCGGTGCACACAGACACTAACAAATTCTTGACCTCTTGGGCATCCCCTAATCGGGGCTGTGCCAGGATGAGATGAGAGGAATCTACTCCACACTGCAAGAGCCCCAACAACAGTACCATGGCGAGAGAACTGCTCTCCTCGGGTTCTAGTTCCTGATTTAGGCGCAGTGTACCAACATGGTATGGTCATTAAAAAAACTTGCCAAGCTGTCCAAGTAGGATGTGTGCTTTTCTGTTTCAAAAAAAATCCCCCCAAAACAAAAAAAAAATAAAGCTAAAAAACCTCCAGTGCTGCTGGCTGTAATCATAAATTAAACCAGGACTACCCCAGATGTTAGAATTTCCACGGCACAAAGGGCCCCCAAGGACCTCAGGGCCCCCTAGCCCCAATGCTGGCGCCACAAGACAGAGTCCTTGTTGAAGTCCCCTCTGCCTGTCTTCCTCCTGAAGGAGAATTGTGTCAAAGGCAGCTGAAGCCGGCTTCTTATCGCATCCCTCCCCCCAAGAAATTCCCTACAGGCAGCTGCATGGAAGCACCCAGCCACCTGTCTAAACCCAAAGGATTAGCTGCTCAGCTGAGACATTTATGGGAGGGCAGACTAAGCTGGGGCGAGTTTGACTAGTTCTGGGAGGGAGTTTCAATGGCCAGACTTCAGGCTATGTGCGGAGGGAGGGGGACATGGATCCCAAACACAATCTCAGATTGGAAAGGAGCCGATTCTGGCAGATTCCAGCAAAGGCTGGACCTAGAGCAGCAGGCCAAGGAAACTATGGCTGCAGAGCCAAGCATGTCATTAGGCCGAGATGTATCCCACTTGTTGGCTCAGTGTCCCACGGGAACACAGGGGCACATCTCAGAGCCGCCTTTCCCCTGAATGTGCCCCTGGGTCTGCCCCAGCCAGGGGCCTCACCGCCTCTTAACAGCCCTGGGCAGGGGCCCTAACGCGCAGTCAGTTGGGTCTTTCCTTATATAGCCGTCTCAGAGACCGCCCCTCCTCACTCCACGGAGGAGGTAGCCTCCTGTTTGAACCAGATTTATCTTTTAATAAAAAACTCAGAAGCCCAGGACTGGGGCGGGTTAGGACCCGCCCAGCATGACTCGGCAGTGTTTTGGAGTTTGGGCCAAGTAACTGGAAGAAAACCTCTAAGCATGTGACTATGTTTACAGTCCGTGCACAGGGAGCAGCCTAAACACCATGTGACGCACAGCCTAGGTGCGAGCCCAAGGGAACTTGTCATGGGTGACAAAATGCATGTCAGGAGGCCCGTGTGGCTCAGCTGTGAAGGGGAAATTCCCAGGAGAATGGATGTGTCACAGGGCAGTCAGCCCTTGGGCCTGTCCCTGGATTCCTTAGGGAGCAAAAGAAAGCACCCATTGTGCTGGGTGAATGGCCCCGTATCTTCCAACCAAATGTTGGGGCCCATCCCAGGCAAGGAGTGGGCTCACTCAGGCAGGCCACGCCCAGCGGGGAATTGAGCGATGCACAAGCAGCTACTTGTCCCCACTCACACAGGGGTTGTTCTTACAGTTAGAAATTAAGCCCAGCGCCGCACCTACCCGCCAGCTTCGGGGATGAGAAGTGGCTGCTTGCACTCAGTGCAGTCCCGGGATTCTAGGTTCTCTACGTTTCTCCAGGTGCGAGACGTGCCACCCACCCCCGGGTCGCTGGAGGCCAACCCAAACCAGAGAACCCAGGGTCCTCCCGACCAGCCCCCGACCCGCTCACCCGTCACGTAGATGTCGTTGCCCAGCGCCACGATGCTGTAGCCCCCGCCCAGGTGGTCGGGGAATTCGGCCAGGTAGCGCCACTGGCCCGTCTGCGGGTTGTAGCAGTCGACCGTGACTAGCTCGTCGCAGTCCTGGTCGCAGCCGCCCACCAGCACTAGGATCTCGGCCAGGCCGGTGGAGGGGCGCGGGCGCATGCGAGGGCAGGGCCCGCGGTCGTGGCGGTCGTAGCGCGCCGCCTGGAAGTCGCGCGCCTCGCGCAGCAGGCGCAGGCAGGGCGGGCAGCGCGCCACCAGAGGCTCGGCCTCGACGTGCGCCAGCAGGTAGAAGCGACGTACGAAGGGCAGGCGCACGGCCTCGAGCAGCTGCGGCCAGTGCGCGGCGCGGCGCGTCGGGTCGGCGCGCACCCAGCGCAGCGCCAGCTGGTAGGCGGCCTCTTCCTTGGGCACGCACAGCCCGTCGTCGCGCAAGTAGCGCAGCAAGCGCGCCAGCGGCAGCCGCTCCAGCTGCTCGGCGCCCAGCTCGCCCACGTGGCGCAGGATGAAGCGCTGCGCCGCGCTCGCCAGGCCCGCGCAGCTGAAGGCCTCGGCGAAGTCCTGCATGTCCAGGCAGTTGGCTAGGTCGAGCTGCTGCTGCAGGAAGGCGCCGCACGCCTCCTTCACGGCCGGGAACTGCAGCAGGTCAGCGGCGCGCAGCAGCGGCTCGGCGTTGTCGCCGCTCACCGCCACGCGGCCCGTGTAGCTGAAGTCGAGCAGCAGCTGCAGCATGTCGGGCGGCACGCCGTGCAGGCGCACCCGCTCGGCGCGGCTCTCGCGCAGTTGGCCGGCGAACATGGCGCGGAAGTAGGGGCTGGCGGCCGCTAGCACGGCGCGGTGCGCCGGGAAGTCGCGCCCGCCCGCCGCCTCCAGGGTCACGTCCAGGAACTTGCGCTCGGCGCGCAGCTGGCTCAGGCCGCGAAGCAGGCTCAGCGCGTGCGCGGGATCCGAGAAGGGCAGCACGGTTAGGGGTGCCGGCCGCTCCATGGCGCCTTCGCTGCGGGAGCGGGAGTCGGGACGCCGCGGCCGGGGCCAGCGGGGGAGACGCGGCGCGCCAGGCGCCGCCGCTTTAAGTACGGCCAGGCGCCGCGGCCTCGGGGCCGGCAGGGCGGGGCGGAACGCGCCGGCGCCGCCCACTTAACCCCTCCGCTCCCGCGCCGCAGCCCCGCGCTCCGGCTGAGTCAGTGCGCCCGCCCGCCCCCTCGCGCCCTCCCGGAGCTGCTCGAAGCCTCCCGCCGACGCCGGAGCCGGGCGCCCGGGGTGGTAAGTGTGCTCCCCGAGGGCGGCCCTGCCCACGGTCCAGCCGGGCGGGCAGCCGAACGAAACTCGGGAGTGGGGCGGCCAGCTGGGCGCCCGAAAGCGGAGCCACCCTTTACGCGCCAGACTTACCAACTGCGTCCGCTCCGAACCCCAGGGCCACTCGGCACAATGTTTTTTTTTTTTTTCCTTTTTGAATTCCACTAGTTCAAAGGGCTGCTACGTAACCCTATCAAAGGACAGCTCTCAAACGACGGGATAGTTACAACTGAGGACCCAAGTGAGCAAGTACAGGGCTCGCGGGTGACGTTTTTTCTTGGCTCATTTGTAAGGGCCTCGGGGCCAGACGCCAGGAATCTGCTCCGCTGTGTTCCTGCGAGTTTCAAACTTGACTGGCTCGGTCTTTAACTTTCGTCAGCACACGAGGCACAGTTTTGGTTTCCGATTCACAGGGACTCAGGATCCAGAGCTGCCCTCGGAAGAGGCAGGCCTGCTCTGGGTTGGGCCACCTTAGCCTCCTCGCCTCCTAATGGAAATGAAATGGGAAAGGCAGAAAACCGAGAGAAGGAGAAATCCGTAAGAAATCCTCTGAGTATGCTATTAAGCTGAACAAAGCTGAAGCCCCAGAAAACATTCCGAGAAAAATAGGTTTTCCTACTCCATGAGGGGACCTGAGGGGCCCTGGGACAGTACCTTCAACTCAAGGTCAGTCGGGGGACTGCCTTAAAAAAACCAGGGGATGTGGCTCTTCAGACATGTCAGTCACTCGTGGGGTGATGGCAAAAACAGGAATTTGCCTTACTCTGGTTCCTACAGATACAGTACCAGAGCTGCACTTTCCATGTAACCATATGAAAAACTACCCTCATTTGGAAGCCATTTTTTCCTTCAGTTTAGCATAGGCTTTACTCAGTTTTTCAGAGAAAAGCCTTATTCATCTCCAGTCCTCTTGTCTGGCAGATGAATCTGGGTTTTTGTTGTTCAGTAGCCCCTACCCGGGGCCTATGGGCTTTGCAGACCTCCAGCGTACTCACAACACCCACGTGTGTCCAGGGCGCAGGCCTGGCACCCGGGAGTGCCATTTCTTGGTTACAGCTAAGCTGGCAAAGCCTTTGCAGAAGACATCTTGTTTCTATTCCACGTCTGAAATGAGAACTGTAGGCTTTCTCTTCTACTAGTGAATCTCTCATCTTGCCACGAGAATGTATCTGGTCTAAATTTCAGCATGGGAAGCCCAGGCCTAAGAAAGCAAGCATTCAGGTAGGCAGGCTGGCTGCCTGTTGTCCATAGATGGACTGTTCACACAGCTGTTAGGGGCAGTGGCAGCATTCCTGGGCTCAGGAGCTGGGCCAATAGCTTACTTGCACAGGATTTGGGACAAGAAAGTCTGAGTAACTAGGGAAGTGGGATATTTGTAGGGAAAAGTACTATAATCCCTCTGGGTCAGAATTTATCGGCCTTGTATAAATCAAATCTTTAATAAAGCAGTAAGGTTTCTGTAGTTATGAACCGAGTCCAGTTTTGTATATTCCTAACAGAGTTATTTAAACAAATCATGTTTCTACCTTACTGTGAAGCCTTGGAGAATAGTGTATATATTTATTGGAAAGATGTTCATGCTTAGCTTCAAGCGAAAAATCTGCTTACCCGTAGAATGACCCGGGTTACTGTATGTGTTCAAATATGTACAAAACAATTTGTGAAGGTCACATCTTCTCTAGGCTGCATTTTCTGTCTTTCTGTACTTAACTAATACCACAAGTTTAAAATATGGTTAAAAATTCAGTTCTTGAGAAAAAGGTGTATTATTAATATTCCAGACCTAACAGTGGAGCATTTGAAACAATGGGTATATATATCTAAGTCAATAAAGGAATGTGGTTAGAAAAGAAAGGAACAGATTTAGACTTATCAGCTGTGTTTGGAATTTTGAATAACCTACTAACCCAGGCATGCTATTTAGTCCCTTTTTTTGCTCATCAATCTTACGAGTTCAAAATGGGAATGTGAGAGATTCATGCACTACAGTACGACAGTGTGATTGATAACAGCAAACTGTTTTAAGTTTTAAGCTCCTCATATATCACCCAACACCCTGGCAGGGTGGAAACACCATTGTTTGGTGAGGAAAGTGTTGACTCTAGTCAACCAGTAATAGTCTGTGGGAAAATGTGTTTAAAGATTAAACTTCAACCATGAAAGTTTTAAAAGTTCACCTCATCTGCTGAAAATGTCTTTGCCTAAGTAACTTCTTTATGATAATGTAATTTAATGTGATTTAACAGATAACAGTATTATTTAAAAAAATTCACACTGTATAATTTTGAACTCAGATTTTAGGCAGACGGGACAAGAGATGTGACTGAGTGATTTAGGTCATTTTAAAAGCTGCTGTTACCATTTTTCTTCAAAAACATCTAAGGAACACTTACTTTGGCATTTGAAGAGTCAGATAAAGATTGCCTTTTTTCCTATTACACATTGATTTTTTCGGGTTCTGGACAACACAGGTGTGGTTTATAATGCACTTCATATGAACTTTTTCCTTAAGAAAAGTTATAGTATTCTCTGTTAAGTGCATTATTATGTGTAAATTAATATTGTAAATAAAAATATTAAAACAGTATTTGGCATACAGTGTTAGCTATTAATATTTGTGTTTCACCTGTATGAACCGTAACACAGGAAAGTAATTTGATTAATCTATGCATAGGTTGTTTTCTTCAGTAGAAAGTTGATAGTACATAGTTCAGAAATTATTTATTAATGATTTTAAATTATTCACACACATATATTCATACAATAGTCAAGGTACTAAAAGTTGAGGACAGTATGACCTTGAGGATTTTTCATTTTTCTCTTCTCCAGAAAATGGAAATGAGAAAGGTAGAAAACAAGGTAGGAGAAAACCATAAGAATTCATAGGAATATACTATGAAGCTCATCAAAAAGCTGAACCACCAGAAAATAATTTTGGAAAAAAGAAACCGTTATGTTCATACCAACACTCAGGCGTAGACACTTAAAATGGTAGGCAGAAAGCTTTGCTGAATGTTCCCCAAACGAATGTAGTGTAGCCAGTGAGATTTAGGAAGGTGGAGCTATATCTGGTAACCCGATAAAAGCAACTGACACTCTCAAGTTACTGGGAAACCATGGTATTCTTTGTATTTTTAAGCTTGTCACAACCTGTCCTAATGTTGGCTTTCCCCCCCCTCCTTCCTAAATAACTATAATTTGGGGAATTAGCATTCAGCAGCAGGTATAATTTTTTTTTTTTAACAGAAAACAAGGAATCATAGACTCCAAGGATCTGACTACTGTGGCTAATGTCCTTGCATTAATCATGGGATTCCAAATTTGGCCCTTGGAGCCTGGAATTAGTACAATATATCTGAGAAATGAGCTGAACATACTAAAAAAATGTAAGCCTGTCATACATAGGAAACCAGCTATATTACCCCACAGCTACTACGTATTACATGATTGAATGAGTCCGTTACCGGTGTTACAGTCGTTTTTTGAGTCTTGGGAAAGGATGATAGGTGTGAATGTCTAAACCTCTTCTAAAGGGCTAAATTTCCAAGGAAAATCAAAGGAAGGAGAGACAAAGATCCTTCTCCATTAATTTTTAATTTTTTATTTCACTAGAGTGGCAGGCAGGGCGACAGCAGAGTCCACCAGAGTAGTACTGGTCATACCTGTGTACTAAGTAAGACCTTACTCAAGAAATACCTACTGCATATGTGTTCACAGCAAGTTATCACTGTCACATGGCACAATCTACATTTGGGATTTTCTTTCCTTAGTGTGATGGAGTGGTCCAGTATCAATCCCTGAATCCTAGGCTGTTTTGTCATCAAGTCCATGATTATGAACAAGTTCTTATTTCAGTTTCTTAGTGGGGGTGGATTATTCATTATGTGAATAAGTGTACCATAGGGAATAATGTCATTTAGACTTCACCTCTAATAATTATTCTTTTGGTATTTACATCTTTAAACTGATAATAGGGCAATATCTTTTTGGTCCTTTATTAGTCACGAAAAACAAGGTGCTGCTGCTGAATCTGACCCTGGGCAATGCTAGCTAACCTCAGGACGCCTGCTCTGGTCACAGTGATCAGAGAACATACTAGATCTGGTTAAATCACCTGAATGTGACAATTCTGTAAGAAGTTGTTTCCCTGGGCCAAGTTCAATGCCTTTTTATCTCACTAGTTTTGGAAAGCACCCCACTTTACCACCCCTGGGAGCCAGCCAGTTGGGGAAGGTATTGATGAAACAACACTGAAAAAATACTAATAAACCACTTAGGCAAGTACTACGATAAAAATTCTATAGTTTAGGAAATTAAGGCTCAGAAAGTATTTCTAAGATTAACTCAATCCCTTAACCACTAAATGTTTCCATCAGAATTATCTTAACCACCTAAACAGCAATAACCCGTGTAGTATTCACTCTCTTGGAAATCTCCTCTTTTAGTTAGGAGTTGAGTTCTTTTAATTATTGTTTTGATTTAGCATCGGTTTTCTCATTTGAATTTAAAATTTTATGTCACTTCAACAGTTCGTCTTCGAAGGTACCAGTATGTTCTTGAATCATCTGCATTGTGTATATTTTTTCTTTTGCTTTCCAATTGTTATTAAAAATGTGAAAGTACGTCAGGCCTCCAATTCTATCAGAGCAGTTAATTTTCAACTAAGTGTTCAGAGTCAACCAACCTTCAACATAAAAAGTTGTAAAGTACTCGGTCCAGCATTTAAACACTGCAAGCTTCTCAATTAAATATCAATGAAGTCATTGTCAACACCAAATATTTCTATCCTGTTTTCGCCTCACTCCACTCTTGTAATCCCGTGAGGCGAACATTCAGGAAATAATTGAACTAAAGCGAGAAGACCGGGACGGCCCAAGGTTAGGCGGAGTGAAAAGAAAAGCAAATTTTAAGCAAACGTTTTCCGAAAGATTGATAACACTGTTTATAGAGTTTTTAAAATGCAGCAACCCGACACCCACAAGTGGAGTCTACGGAGACCACGAGATCCTCGTTAAGTCCTAACCCTGCTCCGCCTCGGTCCCGCCGTCCAGGGACCCCGGGGCAAGGAGCCGGCCGGAAAACACAGCGGCGAAAACAAGTTCGCCCCGGCCGGCTCGACTCCGGGAGCCCAGTCGGAGGGCAGCCACATCAGCCCCGCCGCCCACACCCCTCCGGGGCCGCGAAGACCCACGACCCACAAAGGTGCACGAACCCCAAGACCCAAAGGAGACAGAAGGGGCGGCAGGCACCGCCCCCCGCGAACAAGACCTCCAGCCCCGCCCCCACTCGCCGTAGCCCCCGCCCCTGCAGAGACGGAGGCGCTACCGCTCGCACCGCCCCTCCCCCACCGCCGAACCAGCGCGAGCGCCCGCACCTCCCCCGCTCCGGCGGCCTCAAGTCCCGGAGATATCGCTCCCACAGACTGGGCGGCAGCCGCGGAGCTCTATGGGGGTTGG